GGCCTGCCCTGGCCGTGATGATGCAGCAGTGACTTTCCCTGGCCCCCCAAACCCCCTCTGCCTCCTCGCCCCTGCTTCCCTGGCCTCCCTTGGTGTACCCTGCTCGGCTGCTTCTGCCCCTCGATTCAGGAGCCTGCCGACCTTCGCAGTCCTGCTCAGCAGCAAGTCATTGGCCCTTGGAAATGCATTCGGTAATAAAGATCTGCATCTCCCCCTTGCTGAGGTGGGATTAGTGTCAGTCACATGACAGTAAGGTGCAGGAGCGTGCTGGTGGCCATGGCTAGAGTGGGGACTCCGACCGTCCCCCTCCTCTCCCTCCCACCAGCGGAGAAGCTCCAGGGGGCAGGCGGAGTGTCCTGGGCCCGGCTGTCCCCTCTGGGCCAGGCTGTCCCCTCTGGGCCAGGCCTGCTGTGAGTCCCGAGGGTCCCCACGCCATTCCCACTGCCCTGTCCTTGAACGGGACTTCATCTCCCTGACCCCACGCTCCCTTTCCCACCGGCACAGGCTGGACTTGCATTCAGGGCCCACTGTTCCTGTTTCCTCAGGGACCTTTCCGGGAAAGGAGGCAGAACCAAAACAGGGACAGTCCGGCCGGGTTTCTGTCCCGCTCCACCGCCTGCGGGCTAGGAGGCTGCCTTCGGGTCCCACAGCCCCTTTGGACCTCACAAGTGAAGGGATAGGACTGAGGGGTGACCAGACCCCTTTTTGGGTCCAAATCGCATGAGTCCAGCCAGCCAGGGTTCCTCCATCCTGGGTGGGGTGGGGTGGGGACTGCGAAGGCGCAGCCTGGAGAGAGGGGGCTTGTGGGAGGCTGTCTCCCAGGGGGACGCTGCCCACACCGGGCCGAGGGCTCACTCAGAGTCCTGATGACCCCAGGGTCGTGACAGCCGGACAGAGTTCTCACTGTGTAAGGTCGGCCCAGGGACCAGAACAGACGCAGAAACGGAGAGCGGAGGGCAGGTACGCACAGCACAGAGGATCCCACTCCCTCCGGCCCCGGCTCTGTCTCTCAGGGAAAGCTCCGCTGGAGGGGACCACGCTTCTCTGATGCTCACTTGCAAATCGGTGGCAGCTGCCTCCTGCTGGCTTCCCAGCGGTCCCTGCAGTGCTGCCCGCCAGCCCCGGGCCTCTCAGGATGCTGCCCCAACGGTTCTGTTTTAGAGAAAGCATCAGGTGGTCCCCGCCATCTTCTCTGCTCTGTCACGCCCCCACGCCAGGCAGCCTGACCCGGTGCAGGGCCAGCCTGGGGTGGACAAGGCTGTTTGGTGTGACTGCAAGCAGCTCTGGCCCTCTGCACCTCCAGCGTCCCAGGCCGGGGCGGCCCTCAGTGACACATTAAGGGCATGCCGTTGGTGCTCGGTGGTGGTCTGCGTGGCTGGTTAAGTGCCTAGGGGAGCTGGCAGGGCCGCTGCCGCTGTGTTTCCAGGCCTCCCTCCCTCCCCGTGTGCATCGCTGGGGTCTCAGCTGTTAATTACATGCGCCCGGGCGGCCTGAGGCGCTAATCCTCCGAGTCAGGCGACCGAGGTGACACCGAGCGCTCTGCCTCTTGTCATCTCCAATCCGCGTGCGTCCGCTGACTCCCGCCGCTTGCCGCCGGTTAATTACCGCGATCACGGCCCTGCGCCGCCGCGGGAACGGGGTCGGGCGGCCGCTCGCTAATTGGCGGGTGGTGGTCAGGGATCGATGGCGAGCTCGGCTGGCTGCTGACAGCCCGGCCCCCGGGGATTAGGCACTAATTGTGGACGGCCTCCCAGGCGCCTCCGCCCCCAGCCCCGCGTTCTCAGGAAGGAGGCGGATCCGGAGACTAATATGTGGGTGGTGTGCGGGGAGGAGAGCGGGTCAGAGGCCGGCTGGCCCCGAGCCTCCCCAGACAGTTCCGCAACCCGCTGGGCGCCTGCTCCCGAGGGGAGATGCAGGCGCCTCCCTCCGCGGGGCCCAGAAGCCGGTGCAGGATGGGGCTCAGGGTGTCCGGTCTCCTCTTCCCTGAGCCCCGCGGGACAGCAGTCTGCCTAGCCCCTGCCTTGGTGGGTGGGAGGGTCTGGGTGTGTGTTTCTTTCTTTCTTTCTTTACATTTTTGGCTCCAGAGCGTGAATAGCCACCCTCCCTCCACTCACAGGCAGAGTTCGGACAGGGTCGCCCGGAGTGCATGCAAGCTGGGTGCCCAGTAGGTCCTTCGGGCAGCCAGGTATCCGGGGCTTTATGAGCCTCATCACCGCCACTCCCAAGGTGGCACTCCAACGTCCGTGGGTGACGGTGGATCAAGAAAACGGGGTCCCGCCCTGGTTGGTTTGGCTCAATGGATAGATAGTGCGTGGGCCTGCGGACTGAAGGGTCCCAGGTTTGATTCTGGCCAAGGGCACATGCCTGTGTTGTGGGCTCCATCCCCAGTAGGGGGCATGCAGGAGGCAGCCCTCTCTCTCATCATTGGTGTTTCTGTCTCTCTCTCCCTCTCCCTTTCTCTCTAAAATCAATAAAATACATTAGAAAAAGAAAACAGGTCCCTTGGTGCAGGGGAATATTACTCAGCCACGAAAAGGAACGCAGTCCTGACACGGGGGGCAGTGGGTGAGCCTTAAAGACATCACGCTGGGTGAGAGAAGCCGACACTAAGGGCTGTGGGCCGTATGAAATGTCCAGAGTAGGTAACTCCGTGGGGACTGAGAGCCGATGGGGGCAGGGGGGAGTGCCAGTGGGTAGGGAGCTTCTTTTGGGGGTGAAGAGGACTTTCTGGAATTGATTGTGGTGATGGCTGCACAGTTGTGAATATATTAAAAACCACTGACTCCACACACTTGGTGTGGGGGAGTTCTTTGGTGTGGGAGTCATATCTCAATAAAGGTGCCACAAACCAGAAAAAGGAGGCTGGTCGAGATCCCATGGAAACTCCTTTTTTAAAGAGCAAGGTCCCTGCCTAATGTTTTGGTTTTTTTCCCCCAAAAAAATTAAAATGGGCTTTTTATCCAAATACTAGAGGCCAAGTGCATGAAATTCATGCACGGGTAGGGTCCCTAGGCCTGGTCAGCAATCAGGGTCAACCTGTGGGGTGACCAGTGGGGTAATCTGGGGAACCCCCCCCCCCCCCCCCCCCCGGCACCCACCTTGGCTGGCTGGGGGCAGCTCCTGTATTGAGCATCTGCCCTCTGGTGGTCAGTGCACATCATAGCAACCGGTCATCCCACTCGTCTTTCTGCCGTTTGGTCGATTTGCATATTTGACTTCTATTATATAGGATAAATACTACAGAAGAGGGCACAGACCATGTGTGTCCAGTGAGACGAGTTTGCAGTGAATCGCCCCTCTGCCTGGGGGTTGGGGAGTGGGGGGCAGCAGGTACAAGTGCATTCAGACCCTGTAGCTGCGTTTCTCATTTTTCATCTTCACTCCGTGGTGGTGCTCACTCTGTGCCTCACTCTGTGCCTGAGGCGCTGGCTGCTTCCTGCCCGCTGCGCCTGCTCGATCCTGACGCCACTCTGGTGGACGCCAGCCCTGCTGTGCTGGGTACAGACCCGGGAGCAGGACGCCAGGCCAGGTCAGAGCCTGAGGAGACAAGGGCTGCTTCCCAGAGTTGCACAAACCTGGAGAGGGCATGGGTGCCTTACCCTCCCCGCCTTACCACCAGGATTTCCCCGCATCGGCTGTCAGAGTGGACAGCAGCCCCCCGGCCCCCGGGAGCCGCTGGGTCGGCCCCAGCTTGTTTCAGAGCCTGGGAGGCCTCTCCCTCCTGCCCGATAGTCCGTCCCCTGGCGGCAGGGCATCTGACCGGGAGGCTGGATGTTGCCCCCACTGGGGGGGGGGCAGAGCTGGGATCTAAACCCCCGGTCCTTGGTTCCGGGGCTTGGCCCAATTAACGGGGGGGGGGGGGGGGTTGCCAAATTTTGGGGTGTCGGCCGTGGTTGCCGGGTCCATCTGGAGAAGGGACAGCATCCCCCACATGACTCCTCACTGCCCATCTGGACGGGCACCGACAGGCGTGAGCTGGGAGCGAGGGGGCTCCTGGCCTGGCATTGCTCCAGGCTCGCGCTGAGCTGGGCCGCTCTTGGGGCACAGCCTGTGGCTGGGTGGGCAGGTCTGGCTGGACTGGGGGTCTCCCCATACAGCTGTGCAGGCTGCCCACAGTCCCAGGGAGGAGCCACACAGGAGAGGCCTGGCCGGGAGCACCTTGCTCGGGGCCGAGCTCTGTCTGACCGTGGGGCCTCCTCTCTGAGGCCACGCTGCTGCCGCCTGGTCACCTCGCTGAGGCCGCGCCTGGCTGGTCGGGGCCTCCGGGGCGGAAGGGAGTGAACCACGGAGACTCCTTCGTCTCAGTGGTGCTTTGGCAGCTGCGATCGTCCGAGAGCCCGTGAGCCACAGGCCGCCCTCAGAGCTGAGGTTCCGTTTGGAGACGTGAGCGTGGCCCCTGGAGAGACAGTGGTGGGGACGCGTGTCTCTGGGACCGACACCAGCCCTGCACTAATCCGGGAGGACGCTGGGAGCTGGCGGAATTCCTCCTTCCCGAAGGGGAGGTCGGTGAGGCTGCCGGTGCCCGAGTGGGGCTCGTAGAGACAGACGGTGCCCTGCTGTGCACCCCTGGGAGGGGTCAGCGTTTGCCCCTTTAGTCCGGATGTGAGATGGGCGTCCCCAGGCCGCTACTTAGGACTGTCAGCAGCAGCCTTCACGCCAGACCCGCCCAGAGCAAGGCTGACACCCGGAATCCATCCGAGACGCCTTACGGTGCCAGCTCTAACCCCGGCCAGCAGGGCGCACGGCCGCCCACGCTCGTGCAGGCCTGTGACCGTGCCGTGGGGCGGCTGTGTGCACGGTGCCCGGGGGGAGACAGGTGTGTCCTCGCCTGCCTGGTGTCTGGCACTTGTGGCATCTTTGCTGTGATGGGATAAAGTCTGGGGGTCTGGGGACTGTTCATGGCTCTCAGAGGAGGTCTGGGTCTGAGGTGGGGCTGGAAGCAGCAGCTGAGTGCTGAGCTGGCTGAGTCCACGCTGAGGCTCTGTGTCCTTCTCTTGCAGGGTCTTCACTGAGCAGTGAGTCGTCCCCTGTGTCCTCTCCAGCCACCAACCACAGCTCCCCTGCCAGCACTCCCAAGCGTGTGCCCATGGGCCCCATCATCGTCCCCCCCGGGGGCCACAGCGTCCCGAGCACGCCCCCCGTGGTGACCATCGCCCCGACCAAGACCGTCAATGGCGTCTGGAGGAGCGAGAGCCGGCAGGTGAGTGCCTGGGGAGGGTTGGACATGACCAGAGGCCCCAGGTGTGCGGGGGGGGGGGGGGGGGGGGGGTAGCCTTCCACAGGGAAGGCCTGGATTGCAGGGTTCCAGTCCCTCCCTCCCAAACCCATGCTCTCCTGGGGCTCTGTCTTCTCTGCAAAACGAGGCAACCACAGAGCCTACCCGGAGGGTCTCTGCAAAGTAAGCCCATTCCTGGGTGTGATTGCCTCCAGCTGCCACCACCAGCCCCACAGACGGGCGCTTCCGGGCGTCCGCGGTTCTGGAGCTGAGAGTCCGGGATCAGGTTGTTGCGGGCTGGTTTCTCCCGGGGCCGCTCCTTGGCCCGTGGGCAGCGCCTTCTCCCTGTGTCTCCGCCTGGTCTTCCCTCTGTGCCCGGGCTGTCCTAACCCTCTCTTCTTAGGACACCAGCCGTGCTGGGCCTCATTTAACCTCACCGTTTCCCTGAGGCCTCCTCTCCAGATGCGGGCCCATTCTGAGGCCCTGGGGGCTGGGGCTTCCACACGAATGTGGGGGGACATGATGTAATTCTACCCGTAACCCCAGGCAAAGTGCTTAAAATTGTGTTTGCATATCACAGGCAACTGCTAGACAATAGTCATTATTATTGCCTATTGCTCAAACAAGGAATTGAACTGGAAAAGCCAGCCCACTTTTTGATGTTTCTGTCCTAACTGTGGACACCCAGCAAGAGGGCCCTTCTCGGCACTCGGGGTCCCTGTGTGTGGCCGCTGCCAGGTGACCCGCCTGTGCAGACGGGGCTGGTGGCCCAGGCCGGCCCCTCCCACCTGCTTTCCCCCCCCCCCCCCCCCCCCCCCCCCGCACCTGGCGCTCCCGGCCCCAGGAGCCGTTCCTAATTAAGAACACTGTCTCTGCGCTGCTCCTGGATTTTCCTGCCAAGCTCCCCGAGGGATGGCACCGCTTGGAAATACTAATTAAACCACAAAGAAGGCAGAGGGGAGGGGAGCTCCCCCCTCGCCCCGTCCCAGCGCGCTCTGCGGGGAGGGGGTGGGCATCAGTGTCATCAGGCTCCGTCTTGTTTTCTGCCCCGGAGGGTGGGGGTGGCGCCCGCCAGGCAGTCCCTGACCTAGGGTGAGGGTCCCCAAGGCATCCATGGAGACAGCTGTAGCCTGGGACCCCCCGGGTGTGACCTTAACTTGCCCCCTGGAGGCCCCCTGTGCTGTGTTGTCTAGAAGCTGCTGCCTTGGAGACTGGAGGGGCAGGGCAGGGCCGGTAGGCAGATCGTGGCCGGAGGGGTTCGGAGCAGCCACCGCTGCCCCCTAGTCCTGGTGGGAGGGAGGACGGGGGGTCTTTCCCAGAGTCTCCCCGTCGGCCACCTGGCGGTCAGCCTTGACCTCCAGCCCAGCCAGCTGGCTCGCCTCTCCCCTAACTCACTCGGTCCCGGGGATTTCTGCATCCTGTCGTGTCCCTGGCTGGTCCCTGGCTGCACAGCCCCCAGTGTCCCCTTTGCTCCCACCCAGAGGGGCACCTTCCCTGCCCACCAGGACCCAGGGGGCCTTGTCAGCAGGCCTCGTGCGGCTCCGCGCCCAGAAACATCGGCTGACCCCGGAGAACGGGCGGGCCACAGAGCTGCTCCAGCCCCTGGCGGCGAATGGAGCACGAATGCCGCGGGGAGGGCGGAGGGAGGGAGCGGAATTAGCAGCTGATGTTTGGCTCATCGGCCCGGCACAAAGGCTCAGGGAGAACCTAATCCTCCCGGGGAGGGGGCTCGGGGAGAGGCTTGGGGGCCGGAGAGAGGGGCAGCTTCCCAAAGTGGCAGCCAGGAGTCACGGGGAGCCTCCTGCATGGTGGGGGGTCAGGGGCTCTGGGCCCCTTCACTGGGGTCACCCAGGTTCCCCAGGTTGTCAGAGCTCGGGAAGGACGGATGGAATGAAACATCGTCTATTTTAAAGCTAACGGGGCATGTCCTGTCTGTCTGACTGGAAACCTCTCTAATCACCGGAGAGTGAAGGATTTGCCTCCCTCCCCGCCTCCCCCTCATCCGTCTTTTCTGTCATCGCTACAGCTGCGCCTGCAGCCCCGCAGCCGCCGCGCGGAAGGGCAGGCTGCCCGCAGACGCTCGGCCGTGTGTGCCAGGGGCGGCGGGGGAGCCCAGCGGACCCTCTCGGGGTGCCCGGGGTGGCCGCCGAGCCTCCTGGGCTTGGCCCGGGTTGGGGACTGCTGTCGGGCCCACCCCACCCTGGGCAGCCCTCGTGCGCCCTCCCAGCCAGGTGACCTCATTCCCAGATGCCAGTCACAAGCTCAGCGGGGCGCCAGCCAGACAGCAGGCACGTGGGTCTGGCCCGCGGAGCCCCCTGCCGCCGCCTTCCCCTCCGCCCCTGGCCTCTCCAACCCCTTGTCTGCCTCGGCCAGGCCGGGGCGAGGTGCCATCTGGCCCAGCTGCCATTCAGCGGGGCTTTGTCCCCTGAGGGGAGAAGGGGGGCTTTATTCCGGGGTGGCCCCCGTGCAAGGTGGACCCCTGGAGCTGGCTGGTGCAGGGACGTGGGACCTCCTCATGACAGACGCTGGCCCTGTGCCCCGCAGGGTGAGGAGGGAGGGGGAACCAGCAGGCCCCAACCTGGGGATGACCCTCGGGCTCGGTGTGGACGGAAGTGCTGGGTGGGAGTGGGTGCCTTGAGGCTTGGGGGTGCAGTGCTATGTGAGCCTCCCCTCACCCCCACGGCCCCACACTTCTCCCACTTCCTGTCTGTACCTGGGCACCGTCATTGCTGCTCTGTGAGCTGGCCCTGCAGTTGGCACAGGTGACAGATGGGGAAACGGAGGCCCGGGACCGTTATATAAGGGGTCGTCCAGGACCAGACAGAAGCCATCTCCTCGGGGGACCCGGGAGCTCCCCTACTGTCCGCAAAGGCAACTGGAGGACCCCGAGACGGGTGCCACGCCTGTATGGAAGTGCCTGGAAAACTGGGAGGCGGGAGCCGTGGGCTCCGACTGGCCCGGGGCACTGGTGCGTGTGTGACCTCTCCGTGACACCCGCCGCGTGAGCACCCTCTGGGAAGGGCGGGCCAGAGGTCGTGACCCCGGAGGACCTCGCCATGCGCAGAGGGCGCTGCCGCCGGGGGGCCGGGAGCAGATGTTGCTGCTCATTAGGAATTCCAATCAGCCGCCGCCTGTCTTCTCCGATTAATTACCGCGCGTGTGCCTCCCGCAGGCCGAGCACGGCTCCCGCCCGGCCTGTTTGGGGAATGGGACTCCGCCTGAGCTCGGCCCCTGTCCGCGGCCTGCCCACAGGGTCCTGCCGGCCAGTGTGAAGGTGGGGGCGGCCGCGGTGATCCCTCCCTCACCGCTGCCTGGGGATTGTTAGGTAATCGGGTGAAGACGGTCAGCAGAGCGGGGAGGGCAGCAGCTGGAGGGTCGAGGGCCAGGGTCTCCTGGGAGGGGTCAGGCCTCAGCCACCACGTGTCCAGTGGCCATTCCCGCATGTGCCCCTCAGCCTGCCAGTTCAGCAGGACAGTCCGGGGTCTCGGCCCCCTGCGTTCCCGGGCATCGGGCATTTGTGGCAAGGTGGGAACACCGTGGATTTGGGGTCGGTGAACTTGGGCGTGTGCTGGGGGGGCGCCACCTGCCTTCTCCGAGCCCTGTTGCTTTCTGGTCAGTAGTGGTCGGGCCTGACATCGTGCAGATCTGGCCACGAGGAGGGAGGCCTGGTAGGAAATGGGCTCCAGAGTCCGGCCGCAGCTCCGGGCAGGTGGAGAGGAGCCGAGTGCGGCACGGCGATGGGCCTCCGGGTGGCGCTGCTCCCGGATCCTGAGTGGGCGCCTCCGGCTGCTCTCTGTGCTCTCTGAGCCTCGCTGCGCCTGCCGTTCAGCCAGAGGAACCACCAGATGGCACCTTCGGGGGGGGTGGTGTCCAGGGCGGATGCCTCTGGCTAAGCGTGCAGACCGGCCCTCTCCGTGGCTGCGTGGCACACTCGCCCTTGGCCCTGGCGGAGGCCTCTTGCTCCCCCTTTCTGCCTGGGCCAGCCCTTTCTCAGCCCCGGGCTCCTCCTCCTCTCTGCCCAGGAGTCTGGGGCAGGTGCCGCCCATTGCCGTCTCCCCGCTCGGTGTGTGTGAAGGGGGCCCCGGGCAGGTGTGGCCGGTGGAGGGCCTGCAGCTGCCTGTTCCGGTGGGTGCCAGGGCCACCGCAGGGGCTGGCTGGGAGCAGCGTGGGGTGTTGATCTCCCGGGCAGCGCCATCTTCTCGAGGCTGAGTCACTGCGGGCACCTAGGGTCCGGGTGTCTGTGATGCAGGCCCCCAGCTGTCAGCACTTCGCGGCCTTGGCCCCTGGGGATGGATGGCATCTGCTTCTGTTCCGCCTGCTGCCGAGCAGAGCTCACTTCCTGGGAGAGCGGGGTGCTGGGACCAGCCGCATCGACTCTTCCAGTTTGGGCTCGGAGCACATGGGGCCTTGTGGGAAATCCATGCTGGGAGAGTGTGGGTGCTCGTGGGGGGGTGGGGCGCCCCTGCTCTCTGCAGTGTCCCCTCATGGATACTGGGTGCTCGTTGTGGTGCCCCCAACAGTCCTTCCCCATTGCACCCAGGAGGGCAAGGCCCTCCCAGGGGGGTTTCTGTGCAGACCTGTCCCTCATTGGGACCCACGTTTCCCCTTCTCACCCTTCTGCCTCCAACGCCACGTGTACCACAGATTTGGGTAGAAAACCTTAAGGAAAGGGCGTTTCTAGAACAGCCACTACCTCTGAGTCTGCAGGAAGACCGGCTGGTTCTTGTCGGGGGCCTTCCCTTACCCCCACCCCACCCCGGACCCACCGCTCTCTCGCCCCCAGGACACCAGCTCCCGGGGCAGCAGCAGCGGCCGAGAACGCCTCATCGTGGAGCCCCCACTGCCCCAGGAGAAGGCGGGGGGCCCGGCCATCCCCTCCCACCTGCTCAGCACCCCGTATCCCTTCGGCATCTCCCCCAGCTCGGTGGTGCAGGACTCCCGATTCCCACCACTCAAGTAAGTGCGGATTGGGGGTTTGGGGGGCCTGCAAGTGCTCAGGGTCTGGGTCCCTGAGGCGGAGCGGGGAGCCAGGAGCCAGGAGCCGGGAGCCTGCACCAGCTGAGGCTGAGGGCCGCCAGATGGTGGCTGAGCCTGGGCCCACAGCCGGTCTGCGCCTGCTATCCGTTTCCATGCTGAGCTGATGGCTGGCTCTCCCATTCTGCCTAAGCCCCGTCCTGGCTCCTGGGACAGAGGTGCCTCTGGGCTGCAGACATGTGCCTGCTGGTGAGGACAGCAAGGGGCCAGGCTGCCCACCTCTGTGCCCTGGGCCTCCTGCCAGCTCCGGCATCTCGTTAGCGAGAGCTGGAACCCGTCCCCGGAGACTGGTCCTTCCGAGGGAGATGGAGGCAGGCAGGCTGACCCGTTTCCGCTCACCTCCGCCGCTCTGTCCCCGCTGCAGCCTCCAGCGGCCGGTGCACCACGTGGTGCCGCCCAGCACGGTGACCGAGGACTACCTGAGGAGCTTCCGGCCCTACCACACCGCCGAGGACCTCCGCATGTCCTCCCTGCCTCCCCTCGGCCTGGACCCTGCCACTGCCGCCGCCTACTACCACCCCAGCTACCTGGCTCCGCACCCCTTCCCTCACCCAGCCTTCAGGTGAGCTGACCGAGGCCGCCCCCACGGTCCCCACGGAGTCGTGTTCAGGCTGGTGTGCTCGGGGCAAAGTGGAATCTGGCCAGGAACGTGTTCCTCATTCCTGGGGGCCAGGCTCCCAGCGAGAGCCTGGGCAGCCCCCCAGCCGTCCACACTGGCCATCGGGGTCTGCCCTGGTGCAAAGTCCCCACTTCCTGCCTTTGCCGGTGGCTCCCGGGCGGAACTGCTAACAAACAGCACCGGTTTTACAGAGAAGAGGGGCTCCTCGGCTGGGCACCACCCAAAGGCAAGGTGGGGTCACTCTGTAGAAGCTGCCCCAGCCGAGCCCCACGGGGCTGTAGTGACGCGCGGACTGCCCCGCCTGGGCCTGCTGGTCGGACCCGGGAAGGCGCTGGCCTGGCTGAGCCTCTGGGTGGTGGGTGGGGCCTTGGCACCCCGGGCTGTCGGCATCCAGGGGCCTCTGTCAGCGCGGGGCTTGGGGTTGGCCGGGATGTGCCTCGGCTGGGAGGCTGCAGGACCATCCTTTATCCTTTTCGCGTTGGTATTCACTGGCCTGTCTTCTTGGCACAGGATGGACGACTCCTACTGCCTGTCCGCCCTGCGGTCCCCCTTCTACCCCATCCCCACCCCCGGCTCCCTGCCTCCGCTGCACCCCTCGGCCATGCATCTTCACCTCTCCGGGGTCCGCTACCCCCCGGAGCTGTCCCACTCGTCCCTGGCGGCACTGCACTCGGAGCGAATGTCCAGCCTCAGTGCCGAGAGGTAAGTCACAGCCCAGGCCGGCGCCCTCGGCTGCCCCGGCCCCCGTGGCTCCCGTGGCCCCCATGGCAGGGTGGAGAACAGCCCGAGACGGGCCTAGCTTGGCCACGCTGTGGCTCGGTGGTTCCTCAGCCACTCCTGTCCTTAGTCTACTCCCCTGTAAAGGCAACAGTGGCAGTGGATGCTCCTTGGTGACTGTGGGGATCACCACTTACTGGCAGGAGCTCTCAGCGAGGCCCAGGGTGTTAGTACTCAGCTTGTCCTATAGACGGGGGGGGGGGGGGGGGGGGTGTCTAACATCCACGATACTCTGCTTAGGAGGCCGGGTTTTCCATGGAAACCCGGCGTGGCCGTCAGTCCCTCACGGCTGGGAATCCTTGTTCGTGGGCTGCCCTCCCCAGTGGCGCTCAGGCTCCCGTTCGGCTCCCACAGGCTGCAGATGGACGAGGAGCTGCGGCGGGAGCGCGAGCGGGAGCGCGAGCGGGAACGTGAGCGCGAACGGGAACGGGAAGCCGACCGGGAGCGGGAGAAGGAGCGGGAGCGGGAGCGGGAGAAGGAGCGCGAGCGGGAGAAGGAGCTGGAGCGCGAGCGCGAGAAGGAGCGGGAGAGGGAGCTGGAGCGCCAGCGGGAGCAGCGGGCCCGTGAGAAGGAGCTGCTGGCCGCCAAGGCGCTGGAGCCCGCCTTCCTGCCCGTGGCCGAGCTGCACGGGCTGCGCGGCCACGCCTCGGAGGAGCGGGTCAAGCCCGCGGAGCAGCTGACCCCGACCCGCGCAGGTATGCCGGCGGTGAGCCCGGCGGGCAGGCCTGGGCCCCGGGGTGCCTGGCTGCAGCCGTGTGCTGGCAGGTCTGACCGTCCACTCTCCCAGGGGCAGGCCTGATTCCGTAGCTTCTGCTAGCTCCATGGTGTAGGCTCCCTCGTGGCTGGTTTAACGTTTTAGTTCATAAATGCACATGTATCTCACTGTTGATAAGGGCTTGCGTGATTTATAAACGGTGACGGTCCGCTCTGGTGAGCCGGCGTGCGCCTGCCAGCACCCCGCTTCGGCTCGGTTGGCCCTGGGCTGGGTGGGAGCAGCACGTGCCGGCGGCCACATTTCCCTTGGGACAAGGCATGTTTCCCCAAAGCACCCACGAGGCCCTTTCTGTTTTTTTTTTAAAATATATTTTATTGACTTTTTTACAGAGAGGAAGGGAGAGAGATAGAGAGCTAGAAACGTCGATGAGAGAGAAATATCGACCAGCTGCCTCTTGCACACCCTCCACCAGGGATGTGCCCGCAACCAATGTACGTGCCCGCAACCAATGTACATGCCCTTGACCGGAATCGAACCTGGGACCTTTCAGTCCCCAGGCCGACGCTCTATCCACTGAGCCAGACCGGTTTTGGCACGAGGCCCTTTCTGGTTGTCCTGGTCCCGGGCAGTCGGGTTCGAGAGGGAAGGAGACAGGAGCCCCCCGGGGCCTGGCGTGCGGGGTCCCGCTGTGACGTGACGGCCTCTCTCCCCCCACAGAGAAGCTGAAGGACGCAGGCCTGCAGGCGCCCAAGCCCGTGCAGCACCCCCTGCACCCGGCGCCCGCCCCCCACCACGCCATGCCCAGCCTTCTCTCCAACCACGGGATCTTCTCTCTGCCGGGCAGCAGCGCCGCCACGGCCCTGCTCATCCAGCGCACCAACGAGGAGGAGAAGTGGGTGGCGCGGCAGCGGCGGCTGCGGCAGGAGAAGGAGGACCGGCAGTCGCAGGTGTCGGAGTTCCGGCAGCAGGTGCTGGAGCAGCACCTGGACATCGGCCGGCCGCCGGCGCCCGCAGAGCCCGAGCACAGGCCCGAGAGCGCCAGGTAGGGCTCCCTGGGCCGGGGCGCGCGGGGGGGGGGGGGGGGGGGGGGGGGCCGTCGGTCACACTTCGATGGTTTCTAGGCAGCGTTGTCTGAGCGCCTGTGGTTTGCCCGGCATCCTGCTGAGTGCCTTCACTTACTGCATTTCGTTTCCCTGTTCTAACTGCTGTTTGCCCGCGAGGAAACGGAGACACTGAGGAGGGAGAGGAGGTGCTCAGAGGCACCCTATCCCTAAGTAACAAAGCCCACCAAGCCAGGGTCCAAAGCCAGGGACCTGCAAGGCATTTCAAGAGCACAAGGGAGATGCTTTAATGGATCATTATAGTCTGTTCTATTTCCTGTTTTCATCTAGCTGAAAAAGGGACCGCTTTTAATTTTTAAGTAAAAAATTAACTTTATTGCTTTTGTAACAAAAACATATACCCATTTCCTGGGCCCATTATTACAGAACTCCCCAACAGGCACTTTAGCTTGTCTCTGGGCCCCTGGCTGCAGACACTTGCTATGACCTTGGCCCCAGTCCCCCCTTGTCATGGCTGTCCCCTAGGCCTCCTTGCTTCTACCTATCTGTCTGGCAGTCATCTGTTGTCCCCCGCTTCTCCCCGTCTCTCCAGGGCTCTTTCCAAAGGGCCCGGCTGAGACCCTCAGTCAGAGTGGGAGAATCCAGCCAAACCTCTAGAGCTCTGTCTGGGCCTGGCCTGGGGACTCAGGGCCACCAGATACTGCCCCCTTCTCTGGGCCTCAGTTTCCTCAGCAGAGCACCACGGAGGTTGGGCAGGGAGAATTCTGAGCATCCTTCCAGCTCTTGATATCCATCGTGCTGCCCTGGAATAAGACTCACTTGGGTGTCGAAGGCATTTTAAATGTCCACTCGCTCCCTCCCTATTTCCAGCAGCTTTTGGCTGACATTTTCTTACTGAGCTCTGGGCTTGGCTGGCCCACCCTCAGCATCCAGTGTTGAATGGGCTGGTGAGAGGATTCGCTTGGCTAATAGGGTGTGACTGGGCGTGAACTGCAGGCAGACCTCCGGCTGGGTTTCCTTGCAGCCTCAGGCCTGCTCTCTGCTGCTCCCTGTCCCTGTTTCCCTGAGGCCACAGAGAGGCTGAGTCCTGTCTGTTTTCGAGCTGCTTTCTGCTCCTCTAACTCCCCTCTCAGCCAGGGGACTGGGAGAGCAGCCAGCGCAGGTCCGGTCTCCTGGTAAAATCCGGAGTGCTGGTTCCCTCGGGCGTCTTCCCCGGCTCAGGGCCCCAACATCCGGGTGCAGCTGTCAGGGCTCCAGCAGAAGGGGGGCCTCCGCCTCAGGGCTCCCAGCTCTCACCAGGCGTCCATGGCAGCAGGTGGCACGCTCAGCCTTACAACAGCGTGAGTTTGACATTCTAACCTGCCCTTGTGCTCAGAGCTAGAAAACCATTCAGTGCTTGGCTCTGGTGCTTGAAATATTTATTCTGCTAATGGGCTTTATCCCTTCATTGTTTACTTAAGGATACACAGCTTGCTGTGTTCCCTTTTGTACTCGGGCGATCAGAGTTGCTACGGTGGCATCAGGGATCTCTCCCGGCCTGAGTCCCATCCTGGAAAAACTAGCAGGAGCCTCTTTGGCTGTGGTTAAACGTCTCCTTATTGGCCAGGCAGGGAGAGACCTGAGAGCTGGTCTCCTGGGCAGCATAGCACATCCCTTAAAAAATGGAGGCTTTGGAAAAACAATCACCATGTCGCCTTTTGTTGGATCTTGTTTAAATGCATGAGGAAAGAGTCGTTTAGGAGGACTGCATGGCAAAGCTCTTGGTCTGATGGACATCCTGGTCAGGCCCCAGCCCAGCTCCTGCTTCGGGGCCCTGTGGGGCTGCTGCAGTTCTCACGGGGACCACTGGGGGTCAGCGGTGGCTCAGGCCCACCCTGCCTGTGAGGGTCCTTCTCCCCCCACCCCCACCTTGTCACTGGGCTGGACAGCCCTGGAAGCTGGTCTCTCTCTCTCACTGTTGTCTGCAAGGACAGTGTAGAGAGAGGAGTTGAGGCCGCCTTGAGGGCAGCCAGCCCACCCTCCATTGGGTGGGCTGGACCTGCGCTGGCTGCTCTCCCAGTCCCCTGGCTGAGAGGGGAGTTAGAGGAGCAGAAAGCAGCTCACTGCTTGGCATCTGGAAGTGGGTACCAATGGCAGGGTCACTCTTTCGGCGCCAGAATCCTGCCTTTATTCTCTGTGTAATGGGATTCCTGTGGAAAAGTAAGATGAGGATCTGTCCTTACGGGAGGTGATAGAGATTCAGGAATTGATGGAATAGAATGAGCTATTGTAAGTTTTTTGGTGAGAAACCAGGTGGAAAGAGGGTCTGGCCAGGCCTGGGACCATCTCTGCACCCTCAGCAAGCAGAGTCCACACACACACACACACACACACACCCAGCCTCCGTGTCCTCACAAAAGCAGGTCTACACACACTTGCCTCGAGCTGTTTGAAGAGGAAGTGGATTCTTGGGAAACGGCCAGCACTCAGGTGAGGAGTGTAAGCTGCGTCCTTCCCTCCGGGCCCTGGCCAGGTGGCTTAGAGGAGGCCTCTGCACCTTGTAGTGCCTGGCTCTCGAAGGGGGCTCCGGTCTGGGCCATCTCTGAAGCTGCCTCTTACACCTGGGCCTGGGAGGCCCATGACTAGGTGGCTGGCATGCCCATTCTCCTGACTGATGGCTTGCTCTGTTCACTCTCCAGGCCGGGACCAAACCGTCACGAGCCGGGTAGCCGAGACACCCCGCAGCACTTTGGCGGGCCCCCGCCCCTCATCTCGCCCAAGCCCCAGCACCACTCCGTGCCCACGGCCCTCTGGAACCCGGTGTCCCTGATGGACAGCACCCTGGAGACACGGCGGGCCCCCGAGAGCCACCCTCTGCATAGCCACCCAGCCCTGTTCGAGCCCGGCCGCCAGGCGGCAGTCCCGCTGGTGAAGGTGGAGCGGGTCTACTGCCCGGAAAAGGCGGAGGAAGGGCCCCGGAAGCGCGAGGCAACCCCCCTGGACAAGTACCAGCCGCCTCCACGGGAGGCAGGGAGCCTGGAGCACCAGGCCTTTCCTCACGGGCCTGGGCCCTTCCTGGCTGAGCTGGAGAAGTCCACCCAGACCATCCTGGGCCAGCAGCGGGCCACCCTGGCCCAGCCACCCCCCTTCGGGGAACTCACTGGACCCCTGAAGCCGGGCTCACCCTACCGGCCCCCAGCACCACGCGGCTCTGACCCCGCCTACATCTTCGATGAGTTCCTGCAGCAGCGCCGGAAGCTGGTCAGCAAGCTGGACCTGGAAGAGCGCAGACGGCGAGAGGCCCAAGAGAAAGGTCCGGTCTCTCCGGGTGGCCTCTGACCTCTCGGGACTAGAGAGCCGTAGTGCCCGCCACTCAGCCCCTCCTCCCACCCCTGCCTCCCACTGTAGGGTTTAGCAGCTCCAAGGCGCAAGGGCACTGGCTTCTGTGTAGCTACCTGATCCCTCTGCTGGGGAGATAGACCCAGGGCCTTTGCCTGTCTTGCTGAAATACAAATTGTCCCAAAAAGCCAAATCAAAGCCTGTCTGTAAAGACGGTTCAACAGAAATGTGTGATTAATAAATGAACAGAGGCTAATAAGGCAGTTTTAAATATTAATAGTCCATCATAACGGGGGAGGAGGCTATTGAGAGACTGGGCCTAAGCCCAGCAGGAGCTCGGTAGAGGGAGCTGCCGTCAATTGCAGGCAGTTAGGCCTGGGCGGGGGCGAAGGCAGGTCTGGCCACCTCCTTCCTGCTCCTGTGGGGTGAGGGGACTCGGCCAGCAGTGCGCTGAGTTCTCCGAAGAGCCAAGAAGAGCAGGTGAGCAGGCCCAGGGTGAGAATGACTGTCTTCACCTGCAACCACCCTGTGACCAGGAGGGGCCAAAGGCCACAGACCAGTTTCTCTTCTCCTGCTGGAAACTCGGGTCCTATGCGGGTTGTATTCAATCTCTTAGCCGGAAGCTGAGGCCGAGGCCAAGACTTCCTGGGTTGTGGGTCTAGGAGAGATTTAGGGCCCAAGAAGGACTTTCTCCTCTGTTCACCTTGTGAAGGAAGAATGGGGAGCCCCTGGTGCCTTTGGGTAAAGGGATTCTGCTATTCTCTGCACATTGAGTTTGCATGCATGCTCTGTGCCTTTGAGACAACGGGATCCGAGTGTGCGTGTCCCCTCCTGGGTAATGGGTCCAGATGGCCACAGCAGGAGTGAGCTGATGTGCACAAACAGTCTTGGGTTGCCATGGACACAGCCCCAATCCTGTGTGACGAAGGGGATCTGTGTCAGCCCAGGAATTGCCTGGCCCCTTGGGGGCTATGGGTCCAAGCCAAGCCTGGTGCCTGCCTCCTGCCACCACCTGCCATTCCTGAGAAAGTTCTAGGCCTAGGGGCTGATGCATGTTTTCACCTGAGTTGAAAGGAATCGAGGTTTCGGGGTACTAAAAGGACTAGCAAGGCCTGGCCTGATGGGTGGATGTGCACAAAGATCATAGGGGTCCTGCCCCCATGTCCATCCACTAGAGAACGGGGTGTTCTTGCCCAGCTAAATACAGCTATTCTTGTCGTCAGGATACTACTACGACCTGGATGACTCCTATGATGAGAGTGATGAAGAAGAGGTCAGGGCCCATCTCCGCTGCGTGGCCGAGCAGCCGCCCCTCAAACTGGACACATCCTCCGAGGTATCGGGTCTCATCACTGCTGTCAGGCTTCATGCCCACATCAGCGCCTGCCTTGTGGCTTTCCCGCTGTCCCAGTAGACCCCACGTTTGCTGGGCTCCCCCTCGCTCCTCCAGTCCCCACGGACTGCAGGTGTCTGGGCGTGCCATCGGGGTCCCCCTCCGAGGCCCCGTACAGAGTTGGCCATGGTACCTGGGCTTCGAGGACCCCAGGAGGGGCCCCTGGGACAGTGCAGCCACACCACTGCTGGTGGTTTCAAACTCATTTGTTTTCTTTCCCAATCTAGAAGCTAGAGTTTTTGCAACTTTTTGGCTTGACCACCCAACAGCAGAAGGAGGAACTGCTGACCCAGAAGCGGAGGAAGCGGCGGCGGATGCTGAGAGAGAGAAGCCCATCGCCCCCGACGATTCAGAACAAGCGGCAGACGCCCTCGCCGAGGCTGGCCCTGTTCACCCGCTACAGTCCCGACGAGATGAACAACAGCCCCAACTTCGAAGAGAAGAAGAAGTTCCTGACCATCTTCAACCTGACCCACATCAGCGCTGAGAAGAGGAAAGGTAGGGCCTCACCTGGGCCCCTTGGGGGTGGGGCTCACTAGGAGCTTCGGAAGGAGCAAGTGGGGTTCATAAGGCCCCCAGGGCTATCCGAGACCCACGTTCCAGGCAGAACCGGAAAACACTTTGGCCCGGGGCACTCTTACCTCCTCTGGGCTCCCCAAGGAAGCAGCGAGCAGACCTGCCCCACTGTCTCCGCCTTCTTCCATCTGAACTCAAAGTGTCCCACTCGCAGCCTGTTCTCCCATTTCATCCGGAGCGGAAAAGAAACTTGCGAGTATTTTGTTCTGTATGTAAAGCAGCTCTTGTCGCTTGTCACTTGAGGCAGGTTTAGCGACCCTCCTGGCACGAGGCTTAGTGCTTCCTCCTGTGGCGGAGCGCTCACTCCAGGCTCACGGCCAGGCGTTTCCTCTTGCTGGGCCACAGGCATGGCCCACTGGGCTTCGTCTCCGATGGCAGGAGGCTTGGGTGGGTGGTCTGTGGCCGCCTGCAGAACCGACGCGCATTGAGTGGGCAGCTTGCCCTGAAAGGTGCTTCCAGATCGGCCCTGTTGGGACTGACTCTCTGGGCTGGAACACATGGTGCAGAAGACATGGTGTGGTGTAAATGCTTTCTGGGGATGTCTGCTTCCTTGATCGGCCACACGCTCACTTAGTGCTGGGATATTGGTTGATGTGAGAACCTGGCCTGTCTGGAGTGCTCATTTGCGCCCTTCCACGTCCCCCTTGCTGACACCTGCTCATCTCTCTCTGCAAGGAAGACAAAAACTAAAGCAAAAGTGTATTGGTCATTCAGTTGCTTCTACTTACTTCTCCGTTGGCGTGTGACCTTTTTTGTCTTAAACCAACAAGCTGGAATTCTCGCGTTCACCTCGAAGGGGCAGGGACGTGTGATGATCAGCACGAGTCTCTGGGAAGGTGCCCAGTTCTGTTGTGGAAAGTGTCTTTCCACCCGACATATTCCTAGAAGAAGCCATTGAAGTCTCACCAGGAAGTGCCACAGCAGCAGGAATTCATGGCATCGAACATCGCAGGAGTCTTCCTTTTCAACAAGTGGCAGCCATCGTGGGCATTGATGCCAGGGGGGGGAGGGGAACAGAATGCGCCGGGAAGCAGCCTGCGCTTCCAGGGATTGCTTCCTTATGTTGGGGCCATCATTTTTGTCTTTTAAATAATGCATCCTCGAAGTTACCGTGGAAGACCATAGCTACCCATTATTTCCGTAGCTGTCATCACCACACGCACGGCTGTTTTGGGGATACCCCTGAAATGTTACGCAGTAAAAGCTGAGAGGCATCTGGGCTCACTCTGACACCAAGGTTTCTTCCTTTACACACCACCTGTCCCAGTGGTGCCAGCTGGGTGTTTTTTCTTGGTTGAAGGACTTGTACCAGCCAGTCACAGCCTGGGCTAGAATCCTGCCCCCCTTCCCTCTCAGAAATGATGCAACTTGTCTTGTTAATCTCAGGCTGCTTTTCTCATAGACAAAGAGAAACTTGTCGAAATGCTCCATGCCATGAAGCAGAAGGCACTGTCCGCGGCAGTGGCAGACTCTCTCAGGAACTCTCCGAGGGACAGTCCTGCTGTCTCCCTGAGCGGTAAGGCCCAGGCCGGGAAGAACAGCCACTGCCCAGGATCGTCCGGTGGGCTGCCCAGGGTCAGAAGCAACTGCTCAAGGTCTTCAGAACGTGAATCTTTCGTCCTGGAGACAGAATGTGCTTCTCCTCCCCCCTCTCTCTCATATAAGCTTCCTCCATGATGAAGGATCTCCTCGGGCCAGAACATGAGAGCTGGAGTCAGGGCTTAGAGAGTGAAAGGGAGGGTCCAGGCTTCTGGCGGTCAGTGTAGGTGTAGCCATCGTCCATCAGTCCACTGGTGGTCCAAGCCACCGAAGCTCTGTATCCCAGGTCTCAGCACCTCTGCTTCGGCTCTGCTGCTGCTGTCTGCCCTTCCTTGGCACTCTCCTGCGTCTGTCTTGCTCATTCTGCCTTCCAGGCCTCTCCAACATCTGCTTTCACACCTTCTCTCTTTTATGGCTTTGAGGACACATTGCTGTGCTGCTGAGTAGAGCAGATCTTTACTATCCAGTCCTGTTCTTAACTCCCTACGCAGTCTTTCTTGTCTGGTCGGGCCACATAACTTCTTGCCTTTTGGATGACCTGAAGTGACTCGCTTTTTCCTTCAGATTCTTTTTCTTCCCAGATGCTTTCCTGGAGCACCTCCTAAGGATGGACTTGCCGCTACCACACCCCGTCTTCAGGCCACACCTGTGCACTGACATTTAATTAAACGGCTCCCTGAGTCTTGGTCCTTTGTACTAGGTTTTGTCAAGTGTAAGCTGTAGGGGTCAGGGCCCACCTGGTGTCTTGCAGCTCTTAATATTTTCCTCGCTTTCTGTCTCTAAAAGAACCAGCCACGCAGCCAGCCTCTCTGGATATGGAAAAGCCGGTGGGTATTGCTGCTTCCCTGTCTGATGTCCCAAACGCCATGGAGCTTGGGAGACTGGAACAGCTCCGGCCACAGGAATTGTCTCGAGTCCAGGAGCTGACTCCTGCCAGCGTTGAGAAGGCCAGGTCGAATGAGGCCCCTGGGGGCAAGAAGAACCTGAGCATGATGCATTACATCAGGGGCCCCGCCCCCAAGGACATTCCCGTGCCACTGTCCCACAGCATCAACGGGAAGAGCAAGCCGTGGGAGCCCTTCATGCCAGAGGAGTTTGCACATCAGTTCCACGAGTCCGTGCTGCAGTCCACCCTCCAGAAGCACAAAGGTAAGGGGCATGCCCCTCTGGCACTTCAGTATGCACGAGGCACCTGGGGAGGTCGTTACAGGCAGATTCTGCCTCAGCAGGTCTGGGTGGGGTCCGAGTCTCCATTTCCAGCTGGTGCTCAAGTGATGCTGATGCTGCCGGGCTGGGGCCCACACTTGGAGAAAAGTTACCATGTGATGCCACCTGAGTTTAGCAGCGGCACTTTTAGTAAGGCCAGGCGAGGTGCCTTTCTGGCCAAAATAGGGTCCCTGAGTCCTACAGCTGAGCGTTTTCCCAGTGTTTCCATTCAGACTCGCCTGGAAATCTCCCCTTCCTTTAAGACTAGACTCCATGGGCCTGGTGAGCCCTTTGTGACCCAATGGTTGTGCTAGTCCCTCCTGTGAGCCCCCACATTCACTCTCCCAAAGTTCGGTGGGAGTCACTGGTGGTTGGAGATCAGGGTTTGCGGCATCTCATTTCCACTGCTTCTCCTCCCAGGGAGCGTAGCTGTGCTGTCTGCAGAGCAGAACCACAAAGTTGACACGTCCATCCACTACAACATTCCTGAGCTGCAGTCCTCAAGCCGGCTCCCTCTGCCCCAGCACAACGGGCAGCAGGAGCCCCTGGCCGTGAGGAAGGGCCCCCTCACACAGGAGACGGACCAGGACTCGGAAGAGGAAGAGGAGGAGGAGGATGGAGAAGAGGATGACGAGGAACCCCCCAGGCGCAAGTGGCAAGGGATTGAGGCAATTTTTGAAGCTTACCAGGAACATATAGAAGGTACAAAGGGGGAGAGGGAGGAGCAGAATGAGGGCCCAGTAAAGAAAGTCACTAAAAGCTTAATAGACCCATCAGCGCAGGACTTCTTTGCCAGCATTAGGGTCGGTTTCTAAGCGACAGGACTGGCAGATTTTCTGGGGCACTACATGCTAATACTAGAAGGTGGACTTTCCTCCACTGTTTTGCCCATTTTAAGAACTGTTTCTCAGGCTTCTGTAGGTGCCCAGGCTTACTGAGAGTGGCAATTCCTCGCGGACAAACTTGAGATCATCGTCACTGGAGCTACATACAAGGGTCCTGGAAAATGCAAAGCTCATTAATTTAGCTGAGCTCCGACTAGCCGGGCCTGATCCCTGTGGGAGCCTGCCTTGCCTTAGAAGTGTCTCAATGCTGGCAGCACTTTCCCTCTCAGGCTCTGTCACCCTCCTGGACCAGCCCTTCTGTGCAGGGAGGCAAGTCACCAGAATGTTTTATTCTCAACTGCGGGTGCACACTCCATCCCTGCCTGGTAGAACACATCCTGTGGGCACACCCCTCCATGCTGGTCTTGCGTGCTGGTGTTCTGGCATTGCCGCTATGTTTCTAGCACACAACCACCCTTCTCTGCACATCATTTTCCTTGAGATGCCTGCAAAGGCCCCTTCCAGCTTAGTCAGAGACTGCGTGCTGTGAACTTGATGCAGGGGAAGTGGAGGAGTCCAGCCTTTCCCTCCGGTGGAACAGGCAGGTGGGCTCCCGGGAAGGATGAGCACTGACAGGCCCTCGGAGCTCCTGGTCTTGGTCCCGCTGACATGGTGAGCCGCGCCCCTCTGCACTCTGGCCCTCACTGCATCGGCAGTGCTGTCAGTTTGACGTGAGAAATGCAAAACTTGGGCTGCCACCTCCTAATTAATTCATTTCCACATCACACAAGTTTTATCAACTATTACTATGTTGTAGATATTAAATATAAACATTTGATTATGAATCCATCATTTCAAATACTTTTAAAAGTTAAGAGACAGACCAACAAAGGGACAACCAGAGTATCAATTCCTTTCATTCCCTTTCCTCCTTCAAATGGAATCCTTTATTTGAATTTGTCCATCCCTTCTTAAATGTTGCTCTTTTAAGTACATACATATGTATCCAGAAGCAATGTATAGCATTATTATTTATTTCAATGGAGTACAGTGCATCCACCTTTTCTGGGTTGATGTTGGTGACTTGTTTGGGAATTCCTTTCCTACCTCCAAGGACATAATATACTGCATTTCCTTCTAAAAGTATTCACATTCTGCTTCTCTTGTGCCTAGAATTCATTTCTGTGTGAGAAATAAAGTAGAAATATAACCTCATCTTTCCCGCCGGGGCAAGAAGTTATCCGGGCGGTTTGCAGGATGCCTCTGCACCCTGGGCATGCCCATCGAGCAGCATCCTCCCCCGGGCCCAGTCTCTCTGGTGCTGTTCTGCTCCACGTGTTGGGGTCCTGGCCATATCTTTGCAGCGCTCTATTGTCAGTAGTAACTCACCCCGACTTGTTCTTCTCTAACAGCTCAGCTGTTCTTGGCCCTTGACTTTTAGGATCACCTTATTTGTTCCACCCAATTGAATTTACAGATTTGGGAAGAATTGATATCTTTAATAGTGATATTGTTCCTCTTATAAATAGGATAGTAAAGTATACTAAATACATTTTGCTGAGTTTTCTCCATGAGCAGTTTACTTTTATTAGATTTAGTTACTCTGATCTTGTGGGTTTTTTAATTTTGTTAACCCTTAAGTAATCAGATGATCAGACCTTTTGCAGATTCTTTCCTTTTGAGTAACTTTTTCTCATATTGCATTTCCTAGAACCTCTAAGCCATTGAATTAGAGGCACTTGCAGGGCTCTTGTCTTGTGAAACTTTAGAAGTGGCCCATTAAACATCTCATTTGCTGCTGAGTTTATGGTATACAATTGTCAAAGGTTTAACTCCTGCATTTTCTGTACCCATTGAGATGATGACCCTATTGCTTTCACCTGTTTTCTAATGTCATTTCCTCCTTGCTGAATTTACTTCTTTTAAGGTTTTAAATCTACTTAAGTGGCATTAGGAGCTAATTTTATTGTATTTATTTTGCTGAAACTGTTCTAGTTTCTATGGCATTAGCCTGGTAGCCTTCCTTAATTTTTATTCTTGGAAATACTGTGTGTGATGCAGGGATTTAGCCTTGAAAGTTTGAAGTCACTCTTCTGTTAAAACCAGGCCTGGAACCTTTTGGGAAGAGCAGAGATTTCATTTTACTAATTAGGACGCCACTCTGACTTTCTAGGTTTATTCTGGCTGTTTCTACCAGCTTAAAAACTTCCAAGGCTAACTCCAATATTTTTTATCTTTCTTTTTGAAAGATGTATCTTAATTTCTTCTTAATCTGTATCCCTTAAATTACCTTTTGATGCTTGATCCTTTGATTCCACTGGGCTGGATTTAATTTAGTAACACTGACATATTTACCAGCGTGATACCAAGAACTTGGAGCATTATGGTCCCAAGGAGAGTACTGTGCTGGCCGCATTAGAGAGGGAGAACAATAGCCAGGGTATGTGATCCCTGTACACAAAAAATACATCAACATCGCTTGTCTTTTCAGAGCAAAACCTGGAGCGGCAGGTGTTACAGACACAGTGCAGACGGCTGGAGGCCCAGCACTACAGCCTCAGTCTCACAGCAGAACAGCTCTCCCACAGCATGGCGGTGAGTCTTGGGTCGCCATCCACGGGAAAAGGGATGAAAATCAGCTCCAGAGGCTTTAAAACACACTGTGCTTTTGTTTAACCTTTCAAGTTTGGGATCAAGATTAGCCATTTCAGTCAAATTTTGAGGGAAATTCTGCTCTTTAAGAGTTTAAAGCTTGTCATCTTAGGGAAGACGTTCAAGGCTCAGTTGATTACCCTAGCCAAGGAAGGAGGCATCACTAATTTGCAGAATATTGATCCTGGAAGAATGAAGGTGCTATTTATACATATTCCTTTAGGGACTTATTTATTGCCTTTGTGATTTGCTAAGGGGAAAGGAAGAAAGATTTTACTGGAGTAAGTTATTGAGGAAAACAAACCACCTCCTTCCTCTTTACAGCCTGGCCCAACAGGTCTCCCAACTATGACATGTGGCAAGCCCCACGGGCTTCCTCCCAGTGGGGATGTGGGGCTTAGATCAGGTCTGCACATCTTGGCCACTCCTAAGCAGTAAAGGTTTTACATTTTAAGCTCAGGGTCAAAGCTGAGACAACAGTAGACACTGGTTCCATGAGAGCAGGTATTGTGAGAACCCAAGACTTTGGAAGAACCAGTTCAGCCTGCCCCAGAGGCACTGTCTGGACACTGAATTGGGAGGAGGAAATTTTCAAAGTGGCCTCCATGTTTCTACATCACATACCGTTTCGTGAAAGAATTGTTTAATGTGAATCTCTCTCTCTGCAGGAATTGAGGAGCCAGAAACAGAAGATTGTCTCAGAAAGGGAGCGAATCCAGGCAGAACTGGATCACTTCCGGAAGTGCCTTGCGTTGCCTGCATTGCATTGGCCTAGGGGTTATTTTAAGGGATATCCTAGGTGACGGTTTCCCTTGCACTAGGCTGAACCTATAGTATAGAAATATTATCTATTTTATTACCTTGAATATTTAATATTTTTCACTGGGAGGTTTGAAGCTTAAAAAAAAATAATAATAAAGAATGTGCCATGCATGAAGCAAAGGATTCCAGACTCCAGAAAAAGAACGAACTCACCTTGACTTTAATGCAACTGAATCACCTTTGTAATTCAGCGAGCAACCAATGTAGGACGTCGCCCATATATTTTTTTAAAAGGCAGTTTTATTCTTTCCCCATGTCACCGTCTTAAAATCTGAAAATGAAGGCTCTATTACCAACACTAAAACTTTTGTCATTTATAGCCCCTGGGTGCATAAGATAGGATCAAACCGCTTGAGTTCTATTTCTTGTGTTGCTATATTACTAGGCCTGGTGACCCAAGCTTGCTTTTGCTGCAGCATCGGGTCAGTCTCATTCCTCCCCAGGATTGAGACCTGCTTCAGCTGAATGAAGGTGGGTGCATTTTAAGTGAAGGGCTTACTTGTTTTGGTTACTTTTCTGCAAAATTTTCTTCAAAGCAACAGTACTAAAAGCCTCACCAAAAGCAGGCTTTTCCCTGGAAAAGCTCTTACCTAAAGATAACGCAAAATCGACAAAACTGAAGGTACCTTTTTTATTACTCCATGGGGAGGGGGGGAGTGTACAGAGCTCTATGTATACATATATTCACACCCACTAAATTGTTGCTGCAGTGGGGGTGTTTTCATACAAACAAATTTTGAGAGAAAAGTCAAAGGTGCTTCAGCCTTGTACTGTGTATATATATTAAAAAAACAAAGTTTTGTATGTTTTTATTACTTTAATTATTGTTATAAAAGGCCTGCCATTTTTAATATGTGGTTTTGGGGGATTTCTGTTTGTTTTCCTGTTTTGGGGTTTTGTGTTTTGTTTTGTTTTTTGTTTTTCTGGGCAAAAAAAAAAAATACAAAAAAAAACTTGCTTTTAGTGTTTGTACTGCTGCTGGTCAGGACATTAAATATTGAAGTGTTTTTAAAAATTAAAGAAGAAGAAAAGTTAAAAGAGCTTACCACTGGCGCCTATGCGATCACTTCATTTTTGAGTTGCACCAGAAAATGACGTAGAAAGCCATGCGTTACTTCTTACCTCCTCCTCTACCCCCTCCCCCCTGCTCTGGACAGGAAATAGCAGTTACACCTAGTTGCTATCAGTGAGGAGGGGCTAGTTATGGTGAACAAGACAGATACTGGGTGTGCACCTATGCATGCACCTACAGGCATGGGGCTTTTTGTAAAAGAACCTTTCAGGAAGTGAGCAGTTTCTGTGATAGAATTCGAAGGTGTCTTACAGCAGTCTGAGAACAGGTGCAAAGTAGAAACTCTAGAGGCTTTATTTAGATGCAGAGCTTTGTAAAAGCCTAAAAGTAGGATAAACAATGTCAGAGCTGAACTTCTCCTCCTTTTGAACTGACTGTGACAAGCACAGGAGCAGCTAGAAACTGAGATAATCGGATCAATATAAAGCAACGGGGAAATTTTTCCTCCTTGTCCCAGTTAACTGCTCATTCAGGCAGGGTTTAATCTAGATCAAGCAAGTATCTCTTGCCTGAATGGGCTTGAACCAGAGGCCAAAGCAGCCAGTGGTTGGTCTGCCAGGGGAGAGGGGATGGGAGGAGGTCTGAGCATGAGCATGCCTCCCCTTTACCCAGGGGAAGGGCTGGCTGACCTTCATGAAGGCTACTCACTGTGATCAGTGGCCGCACCCTCAGCCCCAGACCTTAGCTGTGCAGAACAGCTTGCTGGCAGATGGCATTGTGTCGCTTTATCTGTTCCCACACAGTTTGCTTTGTATGTCTGCCAAGAATCTTCCAGTTATTAGCAAACTCAGACAAAAAGTGCCGCCAGTATTATCAGCAGTCAACAAGCGCCTTCCTCTCCACAGAAACGATTTGACGAGATCTAAGGGCTGTTCTGTGGGCCTCCCCTGCAAAGACATTGAGAGATCAACATGTTCCACAGGTGGGGACAGGTGTTTAGAGGGAACTCTATTGCCAACAATCAGGGCAAAATGTCACTGAATTTCTCTCTTTAAAATCTGCTTGCTGCTTCTGGTCTGAAAGCTTAAGAGCTACATCTTAGCACTTCACTCCCAGTCCTCCTTTGCCATCACAGAATGTCTGAGTACTAGTACTTTTGCTGATCAGCTTTGGTAATGGCCTTGGCTTAGAAAAAGAAGAATTGTAGATCTAATAACTTGATGGGAAAGAAGAGCAGAGCCCCGTTCCTCCTCCAGCCCAGGGGCACTCCCTTGGTGGGGTTTGTTTAGCTGTCAGGGAGGATGTCCCTGAGCTAGTAATAACTGCTTTTCCTCCTTCCCATTGGAAACTATCACCCTGCACTTGAGCTTCTCTGTCACTCCACCACACGTCTCTGGGTTTAAGAAGTAAAATGACAATCAGACAATATAAATATACACCAGAAAAGGCAGCATAATAAACTAACAGAAGGTAAAACGTCTTTTGAAAACAAATGTACCACTAAGACACAGTACCCAATAATAATTTTTCCATCCAATAATTAGTTCTAAAATCTTAAAACATTTTCATCTCATCTAATTTTCTTTTCAATTTGGGCTTAAAAATGGACAAATAAATGCTCTCTGGAGATTTTGTTCAGCTATTTCACACTGAGTTTAAAAGACAAAGCTCAGAAGAATACCAAATTTGCTCTATAATTGATTTTGCAACCTGTGTCAGTCCTCCACGGCCTCATGTGCTTCCTACAGCACCGGCAGGAGGAGGCTGAGTTGTTAAACTTGTGAGAGACACCTTCCAAAGCCGAATTCCCAGCTTCGCATTTAATCAAATGTTTAGAGACAAACCAGAGCGTTCCTCAAAACCTGGAGCTATACACCTGATCATTTGAAAATGAATTGGTTCTCCGTTTCATATAATCAGAGCCAAACTGACAGTGAAAACATTTCATGATATAACCCATTATCTAAGATAAATGGACAAGGTAGGGTTTTCAACAGTTCAGTCTATATATTCTAAAGGAAATAAAAAAACACACACTAAATTGGCATTAATATTCTGTTAGATAATAAATACCCTTAAAGAAACTCAAAGGATATTCAAAGGAGCCCACACTTCAGCAGTGAAGAATTATAAGAAATCTTAAGTTTGAACATGGAACGGTGTTTCCTAAATGCTGCCTAATCTCAAAAATTACATCAAGATACTCCCTTTCCCTCTGAGCCATGTGTTTTTTAAAGTGTAGAAAATTCCAAGGATCCACCACAAGATGGAGATGATCAGCACAAGCCTATTCTGTTACTCTTAAATAAGTGTATATTAGCCATTTAGCAGCAATCCCTATACTCTTTCAAGTAACCAAGCTATTGACTTTCTTACTACTTGCAGTAGCCTGTCCCCAACTTTTGATCCAGCACTTAACTTAAACTCCTTAACTCTGCCTAGACCTGAGGAAGACCATGCTAATCGGTTGTGTTACTTTGTATGTACCCTGTGTTTAATTGCTAGAACAGTAAACCAGTACATGGGAGGGAGGAGGAACAGTGCCTCGGTCACTCTGGGGGCAGTTTAGATGCTGTGAAATTAAACCTGTTCTAAGTGTACTTGTTTGAATTAATTGTATTGTAATATTATTTGTTGAATGTAGTAATTAGGTATTTATGAATATATTGCTGTAATTTCTGACAACATCCAAAAAAATAAAATCTTCCTAAATCATGCTAAGAGAAAAATCTTTTTTATGTTATAGTAAAAAAACAAAAAAGACCAAATTCATTTTTTTAATGCTCAACAACTATATAGCTTTACAGGTAAAATGTGAAGACGGATCCAATGTACCTCAGTCAGGTTTTAGGAGAAAGGGATTAAGGGGCTGATCTGAGATACACAGGACCCCTGACTCTTCACAATAAAGTGGTTTCATTCAAGAAGATTCCCCGGATTAAAATCTGAAGTAAAAGTGACAAAGGGCAAGTCCTGTCATATGAAAGCAGTCCTCTAAACCAGCAGTCGCCAACGTTCCGAACCTCTCGGACCACGGGTTGGCGACCACTGTTCTAAACAGTCACCTTCACTGATAAAAACAAGTCTTCTGTATCCTAATCCCTCTGTGCCTGGCCCTTCGGTGTTCAAACAACCATCAGCTGCTTGTTGGAGGGACATCTAAATGGATAGCAATTTGGAATGGAGAAACGGAAGTTTGGACTTTTACTTGTAAACACAAGAGCAGATATCAACAGGTCTCTTCCAGGCTCAGTTGATCACATACAGGCCTCAAAACTCCCTTGAGATAGCATGCGACAGTAGAAAACCTGGTTTTAGAAACTGCCACTCATTGTACGATTCTAGACAAGCAATTTTTAACCAGTGTGCCACAAGCATTTTTAAAATATGGAATACCTGACTATATAGTCAGGGACCTCTTTTCCCTTAGATAGTCAAATAAAAAGTGGCAGTAGCCAACCCAATAGCTGTCAACAGTGTGAATGAATCAAAATTACACCTATTCTTCTTGGCCAGATTGGCAAAAAATATTTTTTGGTGTGCCGCAGAATTTTAGTAATTAGTTTACGTGTGCTATGAAATGATAAAGGTTGAAAATTGCTGCTCTAGACAATCTTTTCCCCTTTCAAGGCAATAAAATTTCTATGAGGAATTTAGCAATTCCAAAACACTATTTGAATTTTTTTTTTTTTCTTAGAATTTACCCTTCATTCAGCCACTGCTACCTATGACCATCTTACCCTAAAACCCATCAAGAGCAGTTATAGGTCCAACTTTTAGCACTGTGCTTCACTCATGTACTCAATAACATGTAGTTTTAAAAGCAACCCTTTAAACTGTAACCAGAAGTAGCAAAGATAACTAGAGACAACCAGAGTGAAACTTACAGCCCGCTACACACCTCGGTTTGGTCTATCAGATCATTTAGCCACATGGCTTAAGCAGGAAAAAATAAACCAAACAGATTGGGTTGATTCCATCTTTATTCTGCATCAGGGTTTACCAGGGGTGGGGAATATCTGGCCTGTGGGCCTTATAAGGCACTCTAAATCATTTGGTCTGGCCCTACCAAGGCATTAGAGGTGTTAATTAAATGTTTGACCAGATACAGCAGGCTGATTTTTAAGTTGATCATTTTGTATGGCCTGCAAATAATGTTATAAAATATCCAAACGGCCCTTGGCAGAAAAAAGGTTCCCGACCCCTGGCTGAGATGATCAATCCCAGTCGGCATCACAAGCCACCATCTGCCATCCTTCTCTCTGTGAGCAATCTCTAGATTCTAAATTCAGCCAAAAAGAGCCATATCCTATATAATAAAAGCCTAATTGACCATCACTCTACACAAGATAGCTGCCCCCCTGTGGTCAAAGATAGCCATCCCCATGTGGACACAAAATGGCCACCACAAGATGGCCAGCAGGGGAGGGCAGTTAGGGGTGACCAGGCCAGCAGGGGAAGGCAGGGGTGACTAGGCAGGTAAGGGAGGGCAGTTGGGGGCGACCAGGCTGGCAAGGGAGAGAAGTTAGGAGTGACTGGGCCAGCAGGGGAGGGCAGTTAGTGACTGGGCCAGTAGGGGAGGAAAGTTAGGGGTAACCAGGCCTGCAGGGGAGGGCAGTTAGAGGCAACCAGACCTTCAGAGGAGGGCAGTTAGGGGCAAAAGGGCCGGCAGGGGAGCAGTTAGGCCTCATCAGGCTGGCAGAGGAGTGGTTAAGGGATGATCAGGCTGGGAGGCAGAAGTGGTTAGGGGCAATCAGGCAGGCAGGCAAGTAGTTGGAAGCCAGCATTCATGGATTGTGAGAGTCCTGGCAGTTGGACATCTCTCGAAGGGTCCCAGATTGAAGAGGATGCAGGCTGGGGTGAAGGACAACACCGCCCCCCTTCCCACCCCTTCCGTGCACGAACTTCGTGCACTGAGCCTCTAGTCAAAAAAAATAAAAAAGCCCTAGGGGCACATCACCATTTGCATGTCTGTCTTTCAAAGCAACATGTAACATCGCTGTACACTCACCTACACATAATAGGAGACCTGAGACCCTGCTAGGAAGAATGGCTTGTTTGCTGAAGCTTTTTCTTTCCTCCATAAAGGAACAGGCAACTGCTGGTTTAGAAGATTGCTGGTTTAGAGGACTGCTTTCATATGACAGGACTTGCCTTTTCTTGTCACTTTTACTTGAGTCCTTCACAGTTGGGAATATCTAAAGAACTAAGCACAACCTGTTGCTTTCCAATGATGTTATGAATTCATTCCTTGCTTCATTGCACATTCTTCTAACATTCAAATGGTTCTTGAACCCAGCACTATGCACCTCTATCATGTCCTGAGCACTCACACAGTATCGGGGAGCCTCATGCCAGCAGACACAAGGCCTTTACAAATCAAAAGTCATTCTCTAGAAGTCCTGAGACTGAGCACTTTCAGAAGGTTGCAGGTTTGTGCGGAGTTTGTACATGTGATTGAGAGCTTGTGTGAGGAATGCCCCACTGGTGTTGATCTCCATCAAGGTCAAATTATCCAACTAAAACACAAGAGAAAACACAGGGTTGGTTTGAGAAGTTTCTGATTTTGAGAAAAAGGTAAAAAAATCTACTGAACAAAAACAAGTAATCAGTAATTTTTAAAAGCACAGCCAGTGATTCCTGCTTGTGACAGCCGAGGCAGGCAGAATGCTGCAGGAATCCCTCAGCAGTACACCTACCTTTGCATGTGCCTCCTGCTGCCTCACAAAGCTGTCAGCAGACACCCGGAGTTTGGCTATGCGAGTGTCCCACACATCCTTGATCAGGGTGCGGATCTCATCTGCTTTTGGAATGTTGTCTGAAGCACTAAAGAAAGCAAATAAATGGCATAAGGAAGCACTCTGTAAACTAAAGCAATATCCAGCCAGAAGTGGCTTTAAAAAAAAAAAAAAAAAGGTTGCTTGGATTCAGGTAAAATACACGCGGTGTCCTAGACTCGGATTTTGTTTTGCTTTGTTTTCAATTTTAAAATATAAGGATTTCTAGCAGTTAAGCGTGGTGCCAAGAAAATTCAGCCATGATCCACAGTTATACTCATGTAACCTGTCCCTGGCAGGCAGTGGCACAAGGACTTCTGTTCCGTAAAATAATTAATAAATAAGAGAATAAGCTCTACATTGAATATCTTGTGTCTCAGGATAATTGAGTGCTCTGTGCTACAGAATTTCCATCTAGAATGAATTTGTTTCAAGGCTGGCTCAGAGGTCATGACTTCTATTGCTCAGACCTCATTGGTTATCCAAGGGCTTACAACCCACCAGAGAAAGAAGACAACAGCTCTATGCCATACAACGTATTCAGCACTACACAGTATTTCTATCCTCACAAAAGCCCTGAAGGGTAGACATTGGCCTACAGAGAAAAGAAAAATACATTTACAAAAATCACTGAAGAAATTGCAAATTAGCATAACCTGAGTTCATTTTAGATAATGAATTCTGGGTAAAAGTTTGACTTGGAGGCAGCGAGAAATGGTCAGTCTTCCTGTGTGAGATTTTTTTCAACTAATATTTGAAGGAAAAGACAAACTAGAAGATAAAAACAGAAGCTCACATCATCATCACTAGGCATTCTAGGATAAGCTGGAAATGACCTCTTCACACGCTAAAATTAGCTCAAGATTAGTAGATGGATAATCAGTGGTATAAAGTTTATGTAGTGGATTTTACTTAAAGCTCAAACATCTGGATCCTTTGCTCTGAACAGCAGTAAAGAACAATGTACCCAGCTCCTTGTTAACTGAAATGCAGAACAAAGGTACAATTAAGTCCCTTAGCCAAATGAATTCTAAATAATTCTAAGACAAGAGTTTCAATATGAGCTGCACACATAATATGCTGAATTCCAAAAATGAAAGATGAACAGGCCCCTCGCCTCTGCTTCCAGATTCTCCACTCCGAGTCACTCTCCCCACAGCAGATCCACAGGTGGCACATTCCTTCCTGAACACCCTCCCGGGACCCTCCACCAGAAGAAAAGCCTCAGCTCTCCCACCCCCTACAGTCTACATGTGTCCCAATAGCTCTGTTTCCCAAACACGCCATGTCCTTTCACACCTCCGCCTTCTCCCCCAGACTTTCCCTCATCTTTCCAGCCTGAGTTCCCTTCTCTGATACCACCAGGCATTAGGGTTGCATCCCAACATACTCTGAACAGCATTTATCATACTGCAGTATAACCACTGGGTAACAGGGTCACATCTCCCCTGCCCCCACTAAACTAGGATCTCAAGCTTATTATCACTATTTAGTAGAATGCTTAGTAAGCTGTGAACTGCAGTCTCATATGAACTGAAGAAGCAGTGAATTTTAATTTGCATCCAAAAATGCCATTTAGTGAGCCCCTGGCCTTTGCTCTGCAGCTCCCCAAATTTTGTTCTAGTTCTGCTCTTGAATCCATCAATTATAAGGCATCAAAAGCTGGACATTGAAAATTACATTCTAAGTATGTCCTAAGCAAAATGATCTACACTTCCTGTCTCCTCCACTGATTTCTTTCATTCATTCATTCATTCATTCATTCAACAAACATGCTACCCCGTGTTTCCCCGAAAATAAGACATCCCCGAAAATAAGACCTAGCGCAACTTTGGGAGAAAAAATTAATATAAGACACTGTCTTATTTTTGGGGAAACAGGGTAGTACACAGATGACACAATCCCTGCTCATTAGAACTGGGAGTGAAGAGCATAGCCAGACAAGGGATTAGAAAATTTTTAACTGACAAATGCTATGGAGGTGTACAGAGATGCCAAGATGACAAGTAGGACAGGAAGGGAGTATCTGTTAGGCTAAACCAAAGGACGGATTTACTGGCGGAGGGCACAGTATATGCAAAGCCCTGAAGTGAAGACCTTGGTATGTATAAAGAAGTAAAAGAAGTCAAAGTGAGCTGGAACTTCAAGTCAGAGGGGAGAACTGTAAGAGTTATGAGAGAGAGAGAAGGAAGAAAACCAGCCTATGCAGTGCTTTGAATACCATGATTAAGACTTTAGACTAAATCCTGGAAAGGCTCCATATGGCAACTTCACCTTTAACACTATACTTTCTGTCCAGAAGATAAAACAAGCTGGGCACTTAACGTGTTAAAGGGCCATTCTGGCTGCAATGTGGAGTGAATTAGAAGCTGATGTGGAACCAGAATTGGATGTAGGGAAACAATTTACTACAGCACATTTCTGCCACTAGTGGGCTTTTCTTACAGTTCAGGATCAGAGGCAAATGTGAGTCTTCTGGCCATTCATGTGACAGACATGTAAGAACTCAAATGCACATAACCAAAGAATAAAAAGGGGTAAAGCTCTAGTAATAAAACATATTTACAGTTAATACTAGAAGCCCGATGCATGAAGATTTGTGCAAGAATGGGTCTTCCTTCCCCTGGCTGCTGGCACTGCCTTCGCTCCAGCCAGAGCCACCTTTCTGCCTTCCTATGCTATCCAGAGGCCTGAAACGGCTGGGGCAGTGCAGAACACCTGTGTTGTCGCCATCTTTGCATACTCACTCCTGATTGGCTGGTGGGTGCCAAACGTTATGGCCAATTAGCATCTTTCTCTTTTTATTAGATAAAGTCTACTGCTGGAAATGATTATGGAGGCTCATACTGGGTTCAAATGTCAAGTGATAATTCTATATAATTAAAGCCTACTATGCTAAGTGTCCATATGACCGTTCAACCAGTCGCTATGATGCACACTGACCACCAGGGGACAGACACTCCAACCAGTAGGTTAGCTTGCTGCTGGAGTCCAGCCAATCAGGATTGAGCAAGATGGACCAGAAACGCTCTGGAGCCCTCCCCAGCCCCGATCATGCACCAGAGGGATACCTCGGCCTGGCCTGCGCCCTCTCACAATCCAGGACCCCTCGGGGGATGTCAAAGAGCCAGTTTCAACCTGATTCCCACAGGCTAGGCCAAGGGATCCCACTAGTGCACGAATTTGTGCATCAGGCCTCCAGTTAAGAGATAAAATGAAAAGAACCAAGAGATCTGCTAGAAGAGGGAGGGTGGAGAAAAGGAAAAATGAGGAAGAGAGCTCTCCAGGTACTATGAATGGACTCCCAGATTACTGACCTGAGGAACCAAGTGTCCAGGAATATCACTTACCTTGGTAATGAGAGTAAAACAAGAAAAGGGCAGGGATTAAGGAATAAGAACCATAAATTCAATCTTTCACGTGTGCTCTCAGTGAGATTACTTACTGATTTAACAGAAGCTTGGTCAGTTCCATATAGTAAGGGCTAGGCATAGGGGTAAAAGTTTGTTCCATTCGTTCATTATCCCTAATCTTCTCCAACTTTTCTGAAATTTAGAAATGAATACATTTTAGCATCACCATAACTATAATAAAATATTTTTTAAACCTTTCAAATTTACCAACTGTCTATATTATCTATTCGTTCATCTGACAAATACATTAAAAACAGCTTTTGAACCCTGCCAGTGTAGCTTGGTGGTTGAGCATCAACCTATGAACCAAGAGTCATGCTTCAATTACCAGTCAGGGCACATGCTGGGATTTCGGACTGAGTCCTCAGTGGAGGGCCTGCAGGAGATGGCCAATCAATGATTGTCTCTCATCATTGATGTTTCTCTCTCTGATTTAACACATTGCGGACAGATAACAAGAATTCTTGTGTTTTCTGTTCTAAGGCTTGTGGCCAATCACAATATTAAAAAGATATTAGCTTGTAAGAACATGTAATAAATAACTTCAAAATGCAATGGGTATTTAATTTTAAAGCGTGCCTTTAACATTTACATAAAACATTGTTTTGTACTCATTCAGTAGAAACTTATCTGGCCACTGGGTAAAGCCCGCAATAAAACTACTGGTCTGCAGTGTGTTAATAGCCTGAGAAAACCTCCAGTCCTAAATCTGAACTGCCCACTGTGCCTACAGGATACACACAGACACGACTATGCTGTGGAGTCTCACTTTAAAGGACATCTCCAATGGGCCCCTTGGCATTCTTGCGATCCTATGAAACTTCCTTGATCCATTTACCCTCTCACTTCTGATCATGCCCACCCTCTTCATGCCTTCTCTCCTCGTCTCACTGCCCCAGCTCTCAGCCACTGCCTTTCTGAGTGGCCGCATGCTCCTACCACCACATCTTCCTAACTTCCCTGTGTCTGTCCCCATACACAAGGACCAGCCTTCCAGGTAAGCACTGGATCTCCTCTCTCACCTGCACAGAACAATACTCCAACTTCAGTCTCTCAATCTTGAATGATCACGGTTTCCCCTCACTATGTGACCAATCCATCAAACATGCTGCAACATCTCCCATCTTAAAAAGAAAACCTGCCCTGACCAGTGTGACTCAGTTGGTTGAGTGTCATCCCATCCACCAAGAAGTCACAGGTTCGATTTCCAATCAGGGCATATGCCAGGGTTGTGGAATCGACCCGTAGTAGGGGCCATGCAGGAGACAGCTCATCAGTGTTTCTCTCCCTCTCCCTTCCTCCATGAAATAATTTTTTTTAAAGTGTTTTTCTTAAGAAAAAAAAAAAAAACCCTCCCCTGACACCAAATCTTCCCCAGCTACTAATCCATTTATCATGCCCTTTACACAAAACTTTGAGTTGTCTGACATTGGCATTAACTTCCCCTCCTCCTCCACTCAGATGGGTGTCTATCCTACCCCTCTACCAACATAGTTCACCAAGGCCCACATCCTCCACTAGGCCACACCCAAGGGCTATGTCTCAGTCTCCACATCTGATGAGGATCAATTCTCTTCCTTGGAGTCTATTAATTTAGCTTCTGGAACACCAGAGTTCTCATCCCATCAATTCTTTCTTGCCTTCCTGACCTCTCAACGCTGTGGTGCAGGGCTCACCTAAATTCATGTCCCATATAACCTCTTCCTGACTCATTTAAATACCACCTATGTGCTCATACTGACAAATTCACATCCCCAGATCAGTCCCTCCCCTAAATTCCTGACCCAAATACCCCTCTGCCAATGTTATTTCCACATGGATTTCTATCCGGCACCGCCAGTGTGAGATGTTCAAACTCCACTCCTGGCATCCACTCTTGCCCACACACTGCTCCTACAGTCTTCCCCATCTAAGAAAACAACAACTCCATTTCCTTCCAGAGTTAATAAAGCATAGTAACCTCCATCTTGTATAAAAACTGCTGTTTGAAGTTCTCTGCTATTGTTAGATAGTCCCTTGTTCTTTAAACTCTGTCATTTTTAGACAGTCTCTTATTCTATAAAATAATTGTTAGAGTTTGAATAATAGAAAAAAAACTTAACTGACCTTGCAAGCTAACCATCTAACGTAATGGACTAATATTGATAATAATTCCCATATTCTTATGGCAAATGTTTGTTCTTTATGTACCCAAGATTACAAACTGTCTGTAACAATAACTCACACAGAGCTCTTGGTAAAATCTGCAAAGCTCAAAAGGTATAAATACGGGAAACTTCCTGTGTGACTTTGCTCAGAGATTTGGAAGAAACGACTCCTAATTAATTGGCTCATTAAGGTGTCTTGTATCTCACTTGCCGATTTATGATACAACACTCAAGCAAACAACCTTGGTGCTGATCTTTAACTCTTCTTTCTCATACCCCTTGGCCAGTCCTTCAGCAATCCTGCTGATTCTTCCTTCAAACTATGCCTAAACTCCAACCACCTCTGCCCACCTCAATCCGCTGCTCCAGCTACTCTCAGCTCTTGCCTGGGTCACTCTCTACTGCTCTCTCCCCACACACTTATTCTTTGCACAGAATATTCACTCTTTTCTTTTTTTAAAAATCAAATCAGAGTATGAAACACCTCTGTTCAAACCCTGCAATTCCCATATTGGCCAGGATATGGAACACTGGAAACTCTTGGACAATTCTGGTGGGATTATAATAATGGCTCAACTGCTATGGAGCGCTGGCTGGCAGTTTCTTACCAAGCTAAGCACAGTCTGCCCTATGACCCTGCAATTCCACCCCTCTAGGTATTATTTACCCAAGAGAATTAAAAACATATCCACAAAAAGATGTGGACAAGATTATTCATAGCAACCATATGCACAACAGCCAAAAATGGGAAATAACCCAACAATCCACCAACATAAGAATGGGTGAACATACTGTGGCATACTCACACAATGGAACACCACTCAGCAATAAAAGAATGTAATGGCACATGCAACAGCGGTGAATCTCAAAAACATGATACTGATAAGAAGTCAGAGACAAAAACTCACATACTAAATGATACCATTTGTATGAAGTCCAAGAACAGGTACAACCAGTGTGATGGCAGAATCAGAAAGCAGTTGGTTCTTGGGCACTGTCGACTGACTGATGTCTCATTACTTCTCACCACAGTATGGCCCAGGAGGAAGAAGCTCGGGCTGGGGTTTTAGATGGGCCAGAGCTGCCAGAGCTGATCTTAAATGAGAAGCTTGAGGGGATGCAGCCCTACCAGAGCCAGGTCTGCTGGGACTGAAAAAGCCCTTCAAAGCAGAAGGAATTGGAGTTTCCCACTATGTTTCAGGAACCCCAGGGCCATTCACCCCTTAGGACAGGGAGTAAGGTGGAAACACCCCATCTTCCTTACACTGCATTTGAGAGTGCCTGGCTGAACATGCCCTTGCTTCTGGGAGGCAGGTATCCCAAAGTGATTCCCAAGGGGAGAGGGCAATCAAAATCACTCATGGGTTTTCAAATTCTACATGCATGCCTATTACTACCACCACCCCCAATAAAATTAAGATGCTTTGTGATAATGAGCCACTCACAGCTTTGAGATGGGAAAAAGACACAAAGGATAAAGTCAGGGTTAAGTTGGCCTGCATCTTCAATGCATTATTCTCTTTTCACTAACAATTTTATTCAAGCATAATTAACATATTACACAATTTACCCACCTAAAGTATACAATTCAGTGGTTTTTAGTATATTCACAGAGTTGGGCAACATTTTCATTGCCCCAAAAAAGACCCCCTCTTCCCCAACAATCCTTCCATCACCTTTACAGTCCTATCCCTAGGTTTATTTTGTCTCTATGGATTTGCCTGTTCTGGTAGTTCATATAAATGGAATGTTACAAATAGGGTCTTTGTGTGTTCTTTTTGGAGAGCATAAGATTTTCAAGGTTCATCCACATTCTTTTATATAGCTGAATAATATTCCCTTGTATGGGTTCTTTTCATGCATTTTTTTCTATAATGTAAGATAGTCTACGGCCATACCACCCTGAACGAGCCCGATCTCGTCTATAATGTAAGATAACAACTCCGCTCAACATGTCAGTCTATATCTATAATAATAAAAGCGTGCCAAGACTGGTTTGGCTCAATAGATAGAGCGTCGGCTTGGGGACTGAAGGGACCCGGGTTCAATTCCTGTCAAGGGCATGTACCTTGGTTGCGGGCATATCCCCAGTAGGGGGTGTACAAGAGGCAGCTGATCGATGACTATATCTCATTGATGTTTCTAGCTCTCTAACTCTCTCCCTTCCTCTCTGTACAAAATCAATAAAATATATTTTAAAAATATCTTTAAAAAAATAAAATAAAATAAAATAAATAAAAGCGTAATGTCCTAATTAGACGGGACATCCTTCTAGATGTCTGTCTAGAGACCTTCCTAACGAAGCCCAAGTCCTGGGTGCCAGAGGGAAGCCGGTGAGGCAGCAGGGGGAAAGAAGGCCTACTCTTGCACAAATTTCGTGCATCCACCTCTAGTACTTATATACTTACATTAAAAAGTTTATTTTAAGGTCTTATCATACTTCTAAGGTTTAAAGCAAGGTGAAATAGCTTTAAGCACAAAATCTGAACTCAAAGTGATACACACACCCCAAACCAACAGGGAGGGCCCTGGTAATGGAGGTCAGCTGACTCTAAGGAATGAATGTGGAACCACTGATTTCAGCTGGCCAGTGGGCCATGGCGTCACTGCAGAACCCGAGCACCCACGTCCTTACCCACATCCATCCACTCCGGAGGCAGCAACCGACACTTCTGCCTTTGCTTCAGGTTAATCGCCAGCCACAGGGGCACTTGCACCGGTAAGCCGGGGTTAAAGGGCCCCAGGTCCCCCTGCCGGAGGAGAGCAAACCCCGGTGAGACAAGGCAGAGCTACAGGCAGTACCGGACCCCCAGGTGTCAACTAACACCTGGTGTCAACTAACAGAACAGGCACCGTGCAAACAGCAGTCCAAACACAAACTCACGCCCGGGGGTCACGCAGCGCGGGAGGCAGCCCGCGTCCGCCCTCCCGCCGTGGGGCTGGCCGCACCTGGCGGCCCACCTGAGCCCGGTCCCCGAGGCCCCGCGAGGGGGCAGCCCAGGAACATCTGCGAGGCGCGGGCTACCTCCAGGGACTCCCCCGCCCACGTCTCCCGGCTCCGAACCTCGCCCCAACCCCGTCCTCGGAGGGCTGGCGCGGGGCTGGACACACCGAGTCCGCCGCCCGGCTTCCCACCCGAGACCCGGGAGCACAGCAGGGCGAGTCGTCGTCCGCAGACGCCAGTTCCTGAGGCAAATGCCCGGCGCCGCCTTACCCCGATGAGGTAGATCTTATCCAGACTGAAGTTCGGGATAATGGTCACCAGTTCCTTCTCCGCCAGGAACTCCACCTCGGCCGCGTCCATAACGGAGCGAGCTGCCACCCTTCGGCGTCCCTTAAGTGTCCGGGCGCCGCTTTCCCGCCACCGCGCAGAGCCCGCCCCCCCAGACCGGAAGAAGCCATAGCCAACCTATAGCAACTCGGCGCTCTCCGCGGATGGCGGGAGGCGGGGAGCGCGGCCGCTATGAGCCCGCGGATTGGCGAGCTTGAAGGAGGCTAAGCGCTCAGCCCGCCCCCCTCGTATCCCAGCTCCGGCCCCACCCCCTCGTAGACAGGCTTGGCCACGCCCACTCCCATAGGACGGCCACGCCCTCTCTCGTGCCCAGACCAGCATCTAGCACCGGGCTTCTGAGCTCCTTCACCTGCCCTGGGCGCCTGTCCGCCTTACTCCTGGGGCCTGGAGTAAATGCATTTATGGGGTCATAGCATTATCTGAAACAGCCCGACCCTTGAGAGTGAGGGAAGGCGTTTCCTTTCATTTCACAATCTTCTGACCCCTGTATACACATTGGTTAAAAATCTTTAAAAATGTAGATTCTGTCACCCCTTCCTTTCTCGTCCATCCCACACACACACACACACCCCTCCCATCCGCAATCTTCCAATTCAGAAACTGCGGGGGAAGGGCTCCGAATCTGTAGGTTGGCAAGCAACCCAGGTGAAGCTTATGCAGGGGCAAGTTTGCAGGCTGCAGCAAATATGTATTGATGTGCTCATCTGTTTGTTGAACAGGTGCCCTCTATACAGTGGGTTTGTGTGAAACTTAATAGCAGTGGTCCTGAATCTCCCCATGTGTCAGACTCCCCTAGAAGTTTCTGAGTTAACATGCACACTCCTGGAGAACTGTGTTTCAGGGGTCAGATGGGACCAGAAAGCTGAACTTTAACCAGAGCCCGGGGAATTTTGATGGGATTCTAATATGCCAGGAAAACTTCCAGGGAGGTAAGGGAGCCAGTGCAGGGCTGGTGCGGACAGGCAGTGGGCTGGATTTGAATTTGAAATCCTGCTCATTAGGTCCTGAGAAAAAGCATAGGGGACAGGAGTATTCCAGGTTCTGTATCCTGGCAGGAAAGCTGTCCCACTCCAGATAACCCCATGCTTTACTCTCTAAGCCCCCTGAACTGCCCCATTTAGGGTTGTTGGGAAGATGAAATAAGACTATATTACGTTCTGCCCACTCACGTGGCATAGAAAACTATGTCTGTTGTTTATCTGCATGGGAAGATGTCATTTGCAGACTTGGAGATTACTGTCATTGGGTGTCATGTATTAAGACAAACTCTCAAAGAAAATAAATGAAAGAGCCTTTGGATGCTGTGTGACCAGGGACAAGTGACATTCGGACCACAGTTCCCTCCCCTGCAAAAGAGGTAGGAAGTGAAGGAGGAGCCTGGGGCGTTTGGGGACGGGGAGAAGCTCCGGGCCACCTGGCCCCTCCTGAAATAGAAGCTCCTTCAGACATCTGCAGAGCCTGTGTGCCAGCTTGTCTGGGTTTTGATTGACGGGAGGATGTTTTCTTCACTGGCAAATATTTGTGTTCCAGAGTTGGCGAGGCTTCCCTGCAGGCTTTTTGCAGCCTGTAAAAGAGCAGAGGGAAAGAGCTGGTGGGAAAGCCGAGGTTCAGAGAGGCCACCGCAGGGTGAGCAGGAGAGCAAGCAGAGCCTAGTGTCCCCATCACCCGAGTCCCAGTGGCCTGATCTGTAATATGGTGACAGTGCTGCTGCTGCCCCCACTGGGATGCTGGGAGAACAGGAGAGTGTGCAGCGTCACACACTGCAAAATGGTGTCCTAGAGCCTCGCACTTGCATGTACCTCAGGGTCACTTGGGAGACTTGTTAGATGACCTTCCTTTCATAGCAGCAGGATTTGCAACAGCCAAAAGGTGGAAATGACCCAAATGTCCATCAACTGAGAGATGTTTAAACAAAAATACGGTCTATACATGCTGTGGAATGTTATTTAGTCATAAACAGGTATGATGCACTGATGCCTGCTACAACATGGGTGAATCTTGAAAACATTATGCCAAGTGAAAGAAGCCAATCCCCAAAACCATGTATGATTCCATGTATAGGATCTGTCTAGAATAGGGAAACCTGCAGAGACAGAGAGGAAGTTAGTGGTTGCCAGGGCTGGGGGAGAGAGAAATGGGAGTGACTGCTAATGGGGTGGTGGAAATGTTCTGGAATTAGATAGTGCTGGTGGTTGCACACTCTGTAAATATACTAAAAACCACGGAACTGTGTGCTTTAAAAGGGTGAATTATTCCTCAACAAAACTGTATTAAAATGCCCTTCCCCAAGCTCCAGGCTCAGACTTTCTAACTCAGAAACCACACACTTAACATGCTCCCCAGGAAGTTTTTGTAGTGGGGAAACCTGGGGAGGGAAGCAGCTGCTCCAATCCAGTCCAGCTCTGAGCCATTCCCAGGATCCAGAGAGGATCCAAATGCCCAGCCTCCTGCTGGCTCTTAAAGTCAGGGGGCAGGGAGACTGAGATGCAAACAGACAAGAGGAAAACAAGGGAGGGGAGAATGATGGAAGTGGAGTTGCTACATGAGGGGGGCGGGGGGAACAGGCCCTCATACCTGCTGTAAGAAATGCCCCCCCTGCAGGGCTAGAATGCCCCAGGTGGTAATGAATTAGGAGTTGGAGATAAGATTAATGGGGTGGAGGGACAAATCCTTCATGCCAAAGAATTCCAGATAATGTATATAGATGCCCAACCTTCAGATGGAGCATTGCCAGCTGGCGTGGCTCAGTTGACCTATGACCTTGAAAGTCACGGTTCAATTCCTGGTCAGGGCACATGTCCAGGTTGTGGGCTGGTCCCCAGTGGGGAGCGTGCAGGAGGCAGCCGATCAATGATTCTCTCTCATTATTGATGTTTCTATCTCTCTCTCTCCCTCTCTCTTCCTCTCCGAAATCAATAAAAATATATTTGGGGGAGGGGGGTGGGAAAAGTGGAGCATAACACCCCACTCCTAAAGTGTGGGCTGCCCAGAGCAACTTGCTTTCTAAGAGAACGGGATGGAAACAGAGGAAAACAAAGTAACTTGACACTGAAAAAACCTGATCAAAATGACCTTAGCCAGGTGATCAAGGTCAACAGCAGTAATAAGCCATGGTCACAGCATGCACTCTTGATACCATGGATGAAAAGGGCATTTTACCTCCCAAACCTACAACTGTAGTCTAATCATGAGGAAAACATCAGACAAATCCCAATTGAGGGACTTGCTACAAAACACCTGACCAGCACTTCTCAAAAGTGTCAAAGTCGCCCTGGCCGGGTAGCTCAGTTGGTTGGAGTGTTATCCTGATACGCTGAGGTTGTGTGTTTGATTCCAGGTCAGGGCACATACAAGAGCCAAACAAACGATGCATAAATATGTGGGAAAACAAATCGATGTTGTTTTTGTTTCTCTCTCTCAAAAAACAAAAACCTGTCAAGGTCATCCCAAACAAGGAGAGTCAAAAACTGTCACGGCCCAGAAGAGCCTAAGAATTCATGCCGACTCAATGTCATGTGGGATCCTGGATGAGATCCCAGAGCGAAAAAAAGGACATTAGGGGAGAACTGAGGAAATGGGAACCGAGTATGGACTTTAATTAATAATAATATATAAAAATTGGTTCCCTAGTTGTGACAAAAGTACCGGAGCAGCGTAAGATGAACGCTGGGTGGGCAGTATATATGGGAACCTGCTGTACCACCTTGGCAACTTTTTTGTAACTCTAAAGCTTTCCTCACCAAGAATAAGTTTATTTTCAAAAGCCTTCCCTGGCTCCCCAAAACCTAATACACCCCCAAAGACGTGAATCTATTGCCCTTCAGGGTAGTCGGCAGCATAATAACTTCTGGTCACACAGAACAGTGCTCCAGAGTGAGTCAGCAAGGCGGACTTCTGGTGTGCAAGCAGTAGGTCCTCCTGCAAGGATGGAAATGTTCAGTTTATTTTGGGCCGGTAGATTTGGCTGCAAGTGGAAAAGGAGTATTTGCAATAACGACTGACGGGGGACCGGATCCTCTGAAGGGTCATTTCCTCCTGCCTTTGGCGCTGGGCCAGCAGCCCGCTGATGCATCCCCACATAAAACGATGAGTTACAGTGAAGAAGTGAGGAGGTGGGTGAGGAGCTCCCCAGACTCTCAGCCCTGCCTGTGCAAGAGACTCATCTACTCGATGCTGGGGCCACCCCTGGACCCCAGGAGTCAGAACCCCTGGAGTGGGGCTCAGGCCAGGGCCTAGGCCAAAAGCCACCGCTCTGATAAACTGAGTCCAGCCTCTCTCCTGTGGTGGTGAGGGGGAGGCAAATGGGGAGGGGGGGTGGCCTCAGGGAAAGCACTGACTTGCAGCTAGAGGTGTCACCCATCTAAGAAGCTGGCTCGAATTATAGTGTGGGCAGCAGGAGAGAAATGCAGAATGCAAAACACCTCCTCGGTGACTCCCTGCATTGCCTCGGCTGAAATACGCCAGCCGTGTGGTCCAGAGCAGGGCTCTGAGAACAGGACAGGAATGCCTCCCGAAGTAGCCCCCCCCCCCACACCCCGGGCTCCAGGGGGCCAGGAGGCACAGCTCCCGCTGTGCTGCGACTTGAGCCTCTGCCTGCGGCTGGTCTCTAATGTGGAGATCGTGTGGCCTCTGGCAGGGCTGACCTGCGGCTCTGGCTCTGATGGGTGTACCTATTCTGAAGGCCACCTTCCCCTGGAGCCCGTTAGGTCCTCAACTGTGCCAACATGGCAGGTAGTGGCTCCTACTCTCAGCAGGAGCGAATTCTTTCTTTCTTTTTATTTTTTCTTCATTGATTTGGGGGGGGGGGGTGAGAGAGGGAGAGAGAAAGAGAGAGAGAGAGAGAGAGAGAGAGAAGAGAGAGAGAGAGAGAGAGAGAGAGAGAGAGAGAGAGAGAGAGAGAGAGATATCAATTTGTTGTTCTACTTATTTATGTGTTCAATGGTTCATTCTTGTATGTGCCCTGACTGGGGATCGAACCCGCTGGATTGGCATAGCAGGATGACACACTAACCAACTGAGCTACCTGGCCAGGGCAGGAGAGGTTTCTTCTGCTCATGGCTGCCCATGAGGCATTATCACCCCCACTGAGTGTGGTGAGAAGCGAAGCAAGAAAGAGATGCAGCTCTCTAGGGCCTGCTTTGTAAATCTCTCTCTCTCCCTCTCAATATCTCTCTCTCTCTCTTAATCTTTCTCTCTCTCCCCCCCCCCCCTCTCTTTCTTGTCAAAGTTCTTTAATAGTCTCCACTTAATTGCCTTCTCTGCTGTTAATAAATTGGCAGCACAAGGAGGGACCAAGAGTGTGCTCCCGAGCAGGCTCCTGTGCATCTGGGGGTGAGCCACGTTGGGGCTGCAGGTGGAGGAGCGGCATGAATAGCTCTGCTCTCAGGAAAACAACTGCCCAGCAGCTGGAGACTCGCCTTCGGTGGGAGGTTGTGAGAAGTCCAGGTGAGCAGTGGCGAGACCTGAGCCAGGACAGCGGGCATGGGGACCAACAAGAGGGGTTGCTGACACCAGAGCCCACTGACTGCCTGGCTGTATCTGGAAAAGCCAGGTTCGGGATGCTGCTGGGCCCCACCCAGGTGGCCGCAGGTATTCCCCAGCTACCTGTGGCCCCACACAGCCTGGCAGCACGCCCTGCCCTGCCCTCCGTGGGGGGCCTGCAGGTTCCTCTCCGCCGCTCACTGGCCTCCAGGGTTTGGCGGGGGAGCCATCATGCCAGCCGCACGGCGCACATCACGGCTGCGCCGGGTGCTCTCAAGTGGCTCCGACATGGTGCGAACACACTCTTGTGTCTTTTTGCCATCTGCTGCTGTCATTAAAAAATTACATTTCCATCTGCTTTCACACTTTCGTCCCCTCCCAGCCTTCCCTCCCGGAAGCACATAGCACAGATCCCAAGTCTCACATCGGACATGGCTGGCCTCCCAATACCTTGGAGCGTCTCTGGGAGACACCAGGGCGAGGGGCGAGGGGCTTTGTCAGTGGTCAGAGCTGCTAATGTCCATCCATCCATCTCCTCTTCAGTTGCCATTTACTGCAGCCCCTGCTCCACTCCCCCCCACATCCTCCCCCATACACACACACTTTTGGGGGAACCGTTTTACAAGGCTTTTTATTGTTGGATTTAATCAGTATGTGCAGCTTTGGCATTAAAAATAAATGAAAAATAAGCTGCAGACATTCGTAACCATCCCCCTCAGGGTGTATTAAAATGGAGGAACTGACTCAGGAAATAGGAATCAAAGAGCCCTGTTTTGAGGTCGAGATAAATTGTCTTTCTAGACCAGCCCCACAAAGGCCCCCCAGCCCCACCAGGACGGCACCCTGACCTTGAATGAAGGGTCAAGTTCACGTAGAATACAATGACCCCGCGGGTTGATGGCACCGGTGGGCCTGGTGGATCTTCTCAAGCACAGCCTTGCGAACACCAGCGTTATTGCCAACATCCTAGAGGTCCCTGTGAGAGAGCCAGGTCCGGTGTCCCGTGCAGCCTCAGGCTGGCCTCCCGCCTGGTCTTCTTCCCGTTGCCATGGGCACTAAAAGCCTGGATGAAGTGGTGATTAGCCATGGCAGGCTGCTGAGGGGGCTGGAGGCCTCTGAGCAGAGCCCAGGGAGATGTGGATGGAGCCAGGCCAGAGAGAGCACCCAGCCCCAGCCCCGAGGCCCAGCATCCCCCTGGGTTCCAGAGGGAAGAGGACTGGGGCCACACATCATGAGCAGAAGCTGTGAGTGCACTTGCCTGGCCTGGCTCATGCTCCGAGGGAAAGTACTCTGGTAGCTGCCGGCCACAAGGTGAGGAGACACACGAAGCAGATTTGAACCCGATTAGGGCCTGACAAAACCCAACTCCCGGCAGCCACTCAGCAGAACCAGGGCCCAGCCCGAGACCGGAGAGAGAGATCACTGCTTGTTGTTCTAAGCTACTGAGTATGGAGGGTGGGGTGTCTCAGCCCATTGGGCGGCTATCACAGAATCCCGCAGGCTGGGTGGCTTATAAACAACAGAAATTGTTTCTAGTTCTGAAGGCTGGAAGTCCAAGGTCAAGGCACCAGCAGATTTGGTGTGTAGTGAGGGCCTGCCTCCTGCTTCACAGTCGGCCATGTCTTCACATGTTTGTGGGGGACACACACACTCAGTCTGTAGCAGGGGTGGGTTGCTCAGTACACAGCAAAATGCAAACTATAATAATACACTATGCCCCAGTTTCATGAGTTACATATACAGAAAGTGCTTAGGACAGTCCTGCACATAGCAAGCAATAGGAGGGCTAAACAAATAAAAATCCTGAGCACCTCGTGTGAGCTCTGGGAATTGGTGTGTGGGACTGCGTCCCTGACACTGAAGCTTTATTTTCTAAGGGTCATGTGCCTAAGGCTTGAGTGTGGGCATATCAGCCCTAGGTCCTGAGCCCCAGCTGACGGGTCACTCCTTCTTTCCTCTGATGACATGCACATCAGTGATTATGAAACAACTAGTGGCCCTGTGCACAGATTCATGCACATTGAAAGGAAAATAATTAGCCAAAACCGGTGTGGCTCAGTGGATAGAGCATCGGTCTGTGGACTGAAAGGTCCTGGGTTTGATTCCGGTCAAGGGCATGTACATTGGTTGCGGGCACATTCCCAGTAGGGAGTGTGCAAGAGGCAGTTGATCAATGATTCTCTCTCATCGATGATTCTAACTCTCTATCCCTCTCTCTTCCTCTCTGTAAAATCAATAAAAACAAACAAACAAACAAACAAAAAAACAAACCAGACTCACCCTTGCATTTAAAAAAAAAAGAAAAAGAAAAAGAAAGGAAAATAATTAGAAGAAATGTTTTAATATTGCTATTTGCCCTTTCTCCCTCAGTGCCTGGGAGCCAGGTGGATCTCCCCCCGCTCCCCCCATCCCATTGTGGTCCCACTCTCATCAGGCCCATTGGGTTGGCAGTGCCTCCCCTTGCCAGTGCTGCATCATCAATGCCCACCATGCTCCATGCCGCCCCCTGGTGGTCAGTGCACATCATAGTGAAAAGTCAAATTCCCTCCTACCAGCCCAGCTGAGGAGACAATTTGCATATTAGGCTTTTATCATATAGGATGGAAGGAGGTCCTGCCCCAGGAGAGGAGAGGGTGCTGTGGGAACCGGGGAACAGACTTTAATCTGCAGGGCCCGGCGGGAACAGTATCAGGTGGCAATGGACCCGGCTTTGCCAATGGGCTGGGCTGGGAAAAGGGAGCAAAGGCATTCCAGTGACAGAAACTGCATGAATGGGTGGTGGACTGTGGTTCCACCACATTTCCCATCCCACGTACAGATGATGAATTGTAGAATTATATACCTGAAACTTACGCAATTTTTAGTAACCAATATCACCCTAATAAATTCAATTAAAAATTAATAAATCATAAAAACAAAACCAAGCATTTCCTCCCATCCTAGAGCTGTATTACCAAGATCCCACAGCTGGCAGGCACGGAGCTGGGACTCAAACAAGGTCTGTGTGACTAGGTGCCATGCCCAGGCCCAGCAGTCTGCAGTTCCGTGGGACCCAAGACCGTCCAAAGGCTCATCACCAGCCAGACCTCTGTGACAACCGACTCTCCTAAACCCGCCTCTGTGCCCGGTGTGCTCCATATCCTCCGCCCAACCAAGAAGCAGGGCTTGCCATTCGTTACAGAGGATCTTTATTGATAATGCAAAAAAAAAAAAAAATTATAAATCACGTTTGGATTGCTTTGAGATCTGTAAAACAACTTGTAAAAAAATGTAGCCACTTCTTTGCAAGAAGTTCCTGTGTGTGTGTTGATCTCCTGGGCACCATCGGCATGGTCCAGGGTGCAGGGAGTGTGTTTGTCCAGAAGAAAGCCTCTCCCTGGCACCCTGAGGGCCACCACCATGGCCCTGGGGTCAGCAAGGATGTGTAGGCATCAGAGGTCCGTCCACCGATGGGGCCAGGGAAACATCACTCTTCCAGCACGCAGGGCTGGTTGCTTGCTCATCTTGCCCCACGTCTCCTGGTCCAGTGCCGAAACCATGTTCCCATCCGGTGTACTCAGCACTTCTGTCCCAGGCGGCGATGCCCCCCTGGGGACACGTGGAACGAGGGATGGCCAGAGCCGGAGCCGGAGCCAACAGATCCCAGACCTGCGCTTCCTTCTCAGGCTTCTGGGTCTATTTCTCCATCCTCCGGACATGACCCCGTCTCTTCCAGCCAGACTAGGAGGCAAGAGGAGGATCAACATGTGGATGGATCCCCCACCCCCTTCAGGCCCCTCTCCCTGGGAGCTCTGGGGCCAGTGCCTGCGGGCTCCTTGCTTTGTATCACCTCCCTGAGATCCTCCCTTACATGGGCGGGGGAGCCAATGGATGTTGAGAGGGGATCCCAATGATGGTTGGTCTCACGGAATCCCATGCATCCTTACCCCACACTCAATGCTGAGCTCCCAGGATCCCTGGCTAAGGTTCCTGGGATTGCACACACACACACACACACACACACACACACACACACACACACACCCAGTGCTGGGCAGTTCCAGAGGTGTGGATTTGATGCTTAGAGAGTGGAGTCCGCAGGGCTGGGCTTCTCTCTGATTCCTTGTTGCCTGGGGAAGCCCCAGGGACTGGTATCCAATCACCCAGCGCCCACAGGCCTGCAGGAGGTGACACCCGGGTCTGGTGGTTTTTCCTTCTGCCCTACATATCACATGTTGAGAATATCCACAACACACCACAGAAATCAGCCCCGGACCTTCCTCGTCTTTAATCTTCTACAATCTCTCAGAGGCACTATTTCTCCATCTTACAGATGGAGAAACTGAGGCTTGGGGAGGTGGAGCTTCCTGTTCTAGATCACATGCTGATGAGGAGTAGAGCCAGGATCCAAACTCAGGGTTTTCTGACTCCACGCCTGTGCTCTTTCTCCCATGCTTCCCTTCTCTGAAGGAGGAGAGCGGAGAATCAGGTCTGAGCTCTGCCTTGGACTGCACGAATCTGCCTTAGGAACTGCTCAAGCTTAAAAGGAGCCTCTTCCCTGTGTTAGGAACCCCCCTGGGGGATCCAGGGACTCCAGATATTCACCCCATAGACCTTGTAGAGTAACTATGCGTCTCCGCTGCACTTGCATGGCCCCAGGAGCAGGGAAGGTGGTTAGGATCCCATTACACAGATGCAGACACTGAGGCTCAGAGAGGGGAGGGAGTGAAATGGCAGAGCCAAGGACCTAGGCCTCCACTGCCTGCACTGAGCTCTTGGTTAGACATTGGAGCAGAGGCCCAGCTCTCCTGCTTTGCTGCAAGCCCGTGGGTGGGTCACTCGCCCTCTCTGGACCTCAGCTTCCTCGTCTGTAAACTAGAGATACGGACGGTACTCACAGGCCTGAGGGTTGGATGAGAAGTAAGATTTGTGAAAAGCACGTAGGCCCGGTGCCGGTCACTTGGGAAGGTGACATAGGAATGTGACCTATTACCGTCCTTCCTGAGCATGGCCCTGCCCTGGTAACAGACAGGCCTGGCTCAGAGTCCAATCTTTTTCTTTAGTCACTTGCCTGCTGATCACGCTGAGATCCAAACTCTACACATTCAGAAAAGTGTGCCTAAGATCCCCCACCGGATTTCCACGAGCTCCACATTAGCCTTGTCAGCCTGTGTCCCCCCTAAAGGCCAGGCAGGACTCACAGCTCGAGGGCTGGTGGGCTGAATGGAGGGAGTCTAGACTAGGGGTCCACAGGTGAGTTCTATATCACACAGCCTGGGTCTGAATCCAACTCTGCCTCTTACCAGCTGTATGACAAGTATCTCCACCTCTCTGAACCTCATCCCTAAAATGAGGATGCAAACTAGACCTAATTCAGACTTACTATTAGGACTCAATTACTGCTATCAGAATCATTATTTATTATTATTTATTATTATTTATTATTATTATTATTATTCACAAAAGCAACCTCAGAATCTAGCACAGGTCTGATTCAGTAAATCTGCTGGTGAATAAATGAACAATCTGTCTGACCAGCCCCAACAGCATCCACAGAGGGGCACTTGGGGACACCAGTGCCGGCCTCTCCCTCTCGCCCTCTCTCTGGGAACAGGTCCATCTTCTCTCCCCTCCCTGCAGTGAGCTACACCCGGAAGGCCCAGAAGAGATAACCCCAGCCCGGCGCGGGCATATTTCCAAGCGTGTCCTGTCCAGCTGAACCTCTGCAGCCAGCAAGATGGAGCGCCGGTCGCCTGGCTAGCAGGGGAAGGCGCATCCATCAATTACCTTGGCGAGCCTGCCCAAGCCCATCCATCACTCGCTCAGCTGCCGGGAGGGATTGTCTGGCTAATTACTTAACATGCCACCTCATGCTGATGCTGAGGCTGAGCCACCGTGAGGGGCCCGCGGTGGAGATCCGAGGGTACATTTTTTAATAAACCCCGGGAGGTGGGGACATGAACTCAGACCCAGAGCACAGAATGGGGCCCCTTGAGCTGTCCCCAGCCGGACTCCCCGCCCCCTTCCCCAACCCGGCAGCGGGGCAGGGTGGCCTCACCTGTCCTCCTGGAGTCCCTCGGCAGCATCATGCCCGTAGGGGTCGGGGGGGTGATGATGATGTTGGGCACATCCAGGTGCTTGTCGTTCAGGACGGGGGCCTCGTCGTGGCTGCTGCTGCTGCTGCTGACACACATTTTAAAGCCTGAGAGGGCGGCCGTGGAACACACACACACACACATGACAGAGAGACAAGCATCAGTGGCCGCTGGGGAACTGCCCGCCTCTGGCTGCCTGCCTGCTTCCCTCCCCTCGCCGTCACCATGAGTCCTGACAACTCTCAGGAAGGAGGGCATTGCTGTCCCCACTCCACAGATGAGAAAACTGAGGCTCAGGACAGTTACATGGCATGCCCAACGACCTTGCGTATCACGGAGAGGACAGTGAGTTGTACCTGCTTTGTTCACGAATGTAACTTCAGTGCCTAGAATGTGTCTGACACACAGCAAGGACTCAAAACATGACTCTGAACGGAAGAAAGCAATGGAGCTTGAATTGGAAGCCAGGCCTGAGTGGAACCCACGCGGGAAGTCACCTCTCTCATTAATAATTTTCTAACGGCGTTTGTGTTGTTTCTTCCTCACCTGTTAGGCTGAATTCACCAGTGAAACTTGGAATTTCCTTTGTGCAAAGACTTTGATTACAAATTTAGTTCTCTTCTTTCTTAAAATAAATTTTTATTGATTTCAGAGAGGAAGGGAGAGAGAGATAGAAACATCAATGATGAGAGAGAATCATTGATTGTCCACCTTCTACATGCCCCATACAGGGGATCGAGCCCACAACCTCGGCATGTGCCCTGACAGGGAATCGAACCGTGACTTCCTGGTTCAAAGGTCGAAGCTCAACCACTGAGCCATGCTGGTTGGACACAAATTGAGTAGACGTGGGGCTCCTTAGTTTTTCTGTTTCCAACTGGAGTCAATTTTGGTAAAGTTGTGCTTTGCAAGAACTTGTCCATTTCTTCTAAGCCTTAGAATCTAATCCTTGTTGGCAAACTTATTAGTCAACAGAGCCAAATATCAACAGTACAATGATTGAAATTTCTTTGGAGAGCCACATTTTTTAAACTTAAACTTCTTCTAACGCCACTTCTTCAAAACAGGCTTGCCCAGGCCATGGTATTTTGTGTTAGAGCCACATTCAAGGGGCCAAAGAGCCGCATGTGGCTTACGAGCCACAGTTTGCCGACCACAGTTCCAAGATGTTAAATTCCTTGTCCTACCTCGCCCACAATTAAGCATGGGTAATGTGGCCAAGCTCAGTTACAGCCTCCACCTGACCCAGAAGCACCTTTCCATTCACACCACCAAACACCTTCCTCCACTCTTCCCACCGAGTCAATAGCATCACATCTGCCAGAAATCAGAGTGAGAGCCACAAGTCTTCCCTTTCCTCCTCACCTCCAACCCCCAGCCAATTTAATCAACCTGCAAGCCTGCCGATTCCACCCTTCAATGTCTCCGCCACCCTTCTTTCTCCCTCATGTGCATCTCACTAGTCCTTCCATCTCCTGGCTTCTCCCTCTTCAGTCTGCCCTCCAACAGCAGCCGGAAACTGCGGATCTGACTATACCACACACCAACTTGGAACACTCGCTAGCTCTTGTCAATAGCTACAAGCAGCATTTCCAAAGTGTGTTCCCTGGAACACAGGCCTCCTGAGGCTCCCCTGGAAAGGGGTTTTGTGATCAAATGAGTTTGGGAATCCCATGTATTTGAATGTTGACTGAATCCCATCTACGCTATCCCTCTCTCAGAGAGAATTAAAGGCTGTGATACGTCCTGCAGTAAAGAAGCTGCTTCAATTGTGCTAAATCCTGGGCTTCCTGAACTTAAATAACCGTAGAGTCTGTTAACATCTCACAAAAGCATGAGTCATAAAATACACTGATCATAAATGCTGATCATAAATGCTGATCATAAATTAAAAGTCAACCTCTAAGCCCGGTTTTGAGCCTTCACAATCTGGCCCAACCTACCTGCAGCCTCATTCCCTGCCACCTGCTCCCCCTCTCCAAACTGCTCATAGTTTCCTAAACACACTGGCCTTTCCAGCTTCTCCCTGCCCTCATCCAGGCTGATCCCCTGCCTGGAAAGCTCTTCTTCCTTTACCATAGTGATGAGCTCCTATTCATCCCTCAAAACCTGTCCCAATAGGCTCCTCTTTGGGGAACATGCCCCAGCAAACCCGTCTTTTGTCCATCCACACTCATTCACTCGTCAACCTTCCAGCATTGATGACAGCATATTGAAATGATTAGTTCTTAATTCTGTCTCCCTTTACTGTGAGCATCTGGAAGGTAGCACTGTCTCACTTGAACCTGGCATAGTAACTGGGAAAGAACAGTAGGAGTGCTTTAAATTTAAATTGAAACGCGCGCTCTCTCTCTCTCTCTCTCTCTCTCTCTCTCTCTCTCTCTCTCTCTCTTTCTCTCTCAGCACTACTAAATTGGGTGTTAAAGTCCTTATTTCTAAGCTCTGCCACTTGGATTTTCCCCAATCAGCCCTAGACTGGGACAGTATTAGCTCAATTATTTGGGTCCCTAGCCAACAGCAGGAGCTGAGCAATGGAATGATTATTATTCCTACTGCGTCTCAGGCCAACCCCAGCACCATAGGGATGGTGCGCCTGAGGGACCCTATCGGGCTGTGTGGTGGCTTTCAGGTATGTCCCTGAGAGGTGGAGTCCAAGGCCACTCGCCTTTAGTGTGGGATAGAGTTAGGATGAATTCTAATGAATACAATAAGACCTGAAGGGATCGGGGGGGAGGGGCTTCCAAGGGGAGGTCATAAAAGATGTTACAACTTCCTCCCTGTTCCCTGCTGGGAGAGGCCAGCTACCATGTTTGAGGCAGGCAAGTAGCTTGTGAAGAAGCCCTGTGGTGAGCGACTGAGGCCTCCAGCCAACAGCCATGTGAAGGAGCCACCTAGGAAGCTGGTTCTCCAGCCCAGCCAAGCCCTCAGATAAGACTGAGGCCAGGCCAACAGAGACCCTGAGCCTGAACCTCCCATCAAAGTCATTCCAACCCACAGAAACTGAGATACTGTTTAAGCCACTAAATTTGGGGGTAATTGGTTACCCAGCAATAGATAACTTGGAACCCCAATCCTGTTTCCTTCTTGGGGAACCCCTGTGGCCCCCGAATCCACCAGGCTGGCTAGTTCTATGAGCCCCTCAGGAGCACCCAGCAAAGCCTCTGCCAACTTGAGCTAAAGCAGTGGTTTTCAAACCGCCTTTAAAGCAGCAGAGCCACTCTTCCTGCAATCTTACCCAGAAGCCCAGAATCCTATCTAATAAAACTAATATAAGAGTAATATGTAAATTGACCATTCCTCCAAGACACAAGATGGCCCATGTGGTCAAAGATGGCTGCCCCCATGTGGACACAAGATGGCCACCACAAGATGGCCTGCAGAAGAGAGCAGTTGTGGGAAGTTAGGGGTGACCAGGCCAGCGGCGGAGGGCAGTTGGGGGAGGGAGGAACACTGGCCTGCAGGAGGGCAGTTGAGGGTGATCAGGCAAACAGGGAGGGCAGTTAGGGGTGACCAGGCCTGCAGGGAAGGGCAGTTGGGGGGGACCCAGGCCTGAAGGGGAGAGCAGTTGGGGAGACCAGGCCTGCAGGGGAGGGCAGCTGTGGGTGATCAGGTTAGCAGGGAGGGCAGTTAGGGATGACTGGGCCAGCAGAGGAAGACAGTTGGGGGAGACCAGGCCAGCTGGGAAGGGCAGTTGGGAGTGACCAGGCCTGCAGAGGAGGGCAATTGGGGGGTGGGGGGCAGATCTGCAGGGGAGGGCAGTTGGGAAAGCCAGGCCTGCAGGGGAGGACAGTTGGGCAGGGAGGGCAGTTGGGGGGGACCAGGCTGGTAAGGGAAGTAGTTAGGGGTGATAAGGCCAGCAGGGAAGAGCAGTTAGGGGTGACTGGACCAGCAGGGGAGGGCAGTTGGCCTGGCTTGCAAGAGAGGACAGTTAGGGGCAGACAGACCTTCAGAGGAGGGCAGTTAGGGGCAAAAGACCAGCGGGGAGCAGTTAGGCATTGATCAGGCTGACAGGGGAGTGGTTAGGGGGTGATCAGACTGGCAGGCAGAAGTGGTTGGGAGCCAGCAGACCTGGATTGTGAGAAGGATCCCAGATTGGAGAGGGTGCAGGCTGGGCTGAGGGACACCGCTCCCCCCCACGCACGAATTTTGTGCAATAGGCCTCTAGTGTAAAATAAAAGAAAGTCACATAGAGGAGGCCCTCCCATTATCACTGGTAACAGTTGGCATTTACAGAGCATTGACGCATGTCAGACACAGAACCGAGAGCCTTCATGGCTACCCAGAGGTGCAAAGTGCAAGCAGCCCCATCTCACAGATGTAGAGACTGAGGACCAGAGAGAGTAAAAGCTTACAGATTTCAACAGCGTATGGCGAAGCCAAGATCTGAACCCAAACCCAAGTCTGTTTGATTCTTCTCATAACCACAATCCTAATATATAAAAAGCCAGGGGCTGTCATGACCAAAACAACCAGATGGATGACCAAACAGCAGGCTGCATGGGATGACAAGACCGGCAGGGGGGTTAGTGAGGAACGACCAAACAGCTGATTAGAAGGCTGCATGGGGCAACCAGGCCAGTGTGTGTGGGGGGGGTGGGGGGGGAGTTAGGGGCAACCAGGCCGGTAGAGGGGGGCAGTTGTGAGAAGGACCCTGGGGATCGGGCCTAAACCGGCAGTCAGACATCCCCTGAGGGGTCCCAGATTGGAGAGGGTGCAGGCTGGACTGAGGGGACTGCCCCCCCATGCCTGTGTATGAATTTTGTGCACCAGGTTTCTAGTTCTATATAAAGGAGCTGGAAAACTTTATGAAAAGGGACAGACAGTAAATATTTTTTACTTTGGGGGCTATGCAGTCTCTGTCACAACGACACCATTTTGCCACTGTATCTGGAGAGCAGCCACAGACAGCATGTACATGAATGTACATGAAAGGGTGTAGTTGTGTTCCAATAAAACTTTATTTACAAAAAAAAGGACAGCAGGCCTGATTTCTGTGGTTTGCCAATCCAGCTCTTTAACATCCCAGGGGACTTTGGATCAGGGACCTGCATGGTGTCCTAACTAGCAATAACAGGACCTCAA